ATAACTCGATGCAAACGAATTGCAATACGAAACGCGGAGAGTTCTGCGCTTGCGTCCGCTCAATATGGCCGCACAACGTAAAAGTGCCATCTTCGAACAAGCATAGACCACTCCCAAGCGATGACAGCCGTCAATGTCATAACTTGACGTTTCGCAAAGCACCATAGATCTTGACAGATGACAGCTGCAGGTGACAGATGGCGTTTCGCACAATCGAAGCGCCTTCTCGCCGACACGGCCATCCTGCTGCATCACACGTCCTCGTGTGAGTCTAAAAATGAAAACACTACCAGTAGCTTTTGCCATCACTCGGTCATCTCTGACCAGTAAAAATACCGTCACATAAGCACACCGATCACAAACTATGTTTACTGATTACAACTATGTACAATGATCAAATACTGTAATGCCTTAGTAAATCAACTTCGAAGGATATCTGAAGTTCAAACTTTAAATCAAGTCTTACACTCATCAGTACACAACTGAACACATATCGCGATTCTATACAGTGATAGAACGCACACATCAAGTCACATAACGCCTCCATCGAGCATTATGTTCTCTTCGTGCCTCTAACAACACAAGCAAAACTCCTGCTTCGAGCGTTATGCTACCAGTGTCTCCATCGAGCACATAAACAACCAATGCCTCCATCAAGCATTATTCCCATGAGGAACTCCATTGATCGCTCAAGTAACACCTCCATCGAGTTTTACCCAACTTAATCACGCGATGTGCCATGAACTTCGAACACAAGATCATCACTTTGATCCACGATTCTTCTACAACCAACTGACCTTCAGGCATCCTTCTTAGTCTATCATGAGCATACTTGTACGTCCTCTTAGAATTTAACGCCTTTAACAAATAACGATCACCATCTAACAACTCCATGACCTTAAACGGTCTGTTTGGTCTGATTACGCTCCTCATTTTGTAACAAAACGAAGTCACTTCAGTCAGTCAGTCAAATTAATAATTCTCTCTACTCTGCACATCATCAATTCTATTAATCACAGTCGTCGCATCACCTAATTCGAGCGATGTAACTCATGTCACCTTCAAGTGACGATGTCCTAGAAACAGTCGTCACATCACCTAATACGAGTGATGTAACTCATGCCACCTCCAAGTGACGATACCTCATAAACAGTCGTCACATCACCTAATACGAGTGATGTAACTCATGCCACCTCCAAGTGACGATACCTCACAAACAGTCGTCACAGAACTCGCGAAATTCGCGGCTAGTCAAGCAGCGTCCTTGGTCCGCGATAATACGCATTGGCGCGGCAAATAGGGAGATAGCTAATTTCGAAGCTCGAATGCTGTTCTTAGAGTCAATGTTGGTATGGAGTATGGACAAGCAAGGAAAATTTGGTAAAAGCATCGATCAAAACAAAAGCGTACTCCTTTTTATCATTTTTGCCGCTTAGTTTTCCAGTAGCATCTAGTTGCAAAGTGTGCCACGGAATAGCAAGCTTAGGTATAGGGTAAAGCTCAGCCTGCACTTAACCTATGTGAGTTTTAGAAATTTTGCAAGTGATACAGTTGTCAACGAATTTACGAACATATTTTGTCATGTTTTCAAACCAATAATGACTATAGAGCTTTTCCATAGTTTTCTCCCAGCCCAAATGCAAAAGAGACTCATGCGCGCCAAAATGGCGGCAACTTCAGTGTTACCATTCTAATAGAATTAAAAGTATCGATAATCACGCCCTCTTTACAATCGAATAATTAAGTAATCGAGTAAATAAAAATTAAAAAAAAAAAGAAAACTAAACCAAACGATCTTCGTAAAGGTGATGGAGATGCTCTGCGAAACGGCTATTCTGATAGCCTCACGCATCCTCGCGTGGGGGTTCAATCTGAAAGGGAAAATATGCAGCGCAGTAGATTCTTTACTACATTTTGTATAAACTAACTCAAAATTGTAAGTCTTCGAACAATAATATTGAAAGTAATGAAATCATGCTACGATCACTAAGCAGTTCAACGAAACTCATCAGACAAATTAGCTTTCTAAATAAAATTGGAAATCGTGGATTACATAGTAAAACAGTGTCGTATGCAATACTCTATAATTTCAGATGCTTCCATCCAGCACCTTGTGACAACCTCCATCCGGTCATCACAAAACAATCACGTGGTTGGGTGACCTCCATCCGGTACCCTTCCACAACACAACACATCCACGGGTGACCTCCATCCGGTACCCATACACAATCGTCGTCTCTATGCGACGAACCAACAGCGATCGTTTACATCTGCTAGCCAACGCACGCCACTCACAAACGTGGCCGCAATGCGACGGGAAATCTAGCCCGATTTACGCCTACGACTACGAAGGCCCGGAAGATGTAAACAACCTGAGCAACTTACATACTACTGCTTTACAAATAAAAAAGGAGAGAAAAATAGTTACAAAGAATAAGTTTTGTTGAACTACCAAATAAAAACTAGTTGAAGTTAAAGGAGAACATGAAAAAGAAATTAAAAAAACAATATCGTCAATCTGAACCAAAACTTAAATCTGCACGATACTATAAACATTTCTATCACCAATACCAGTTATTTTAATAGTGTTACTAATTCGATTGCCAGGATCGAATTCGGGCAGATACACATGTGACTCGACAACGGCCCAGTCATGACGTAGATGAGGGCGAGAAAGTTTTGATTTTGTTACTGCAATACGATTCTCCATATTCATGATATCTGTGTGTCCACTTGGTCGGTTACATCCCACTTCTGATGTCGGGAAAGTCATGCGGGGCCGGCGGAAAGTTAGGTTAGTCAACATCCGCAATCTGACTAGTGGTCGAGATATTCCTTCGAAATAAGATCGCATATAGATCACAAATCAGTTATTTAGTTGAATTACTTAATTATCTAATCGGAGTACATTAATAATAACTCGATGCAAACGAATTGCAATACGAAACGCGGAGAGTTCTGCGCTTGCGTCCGCTCAATCTGGCCGCACAACATAAAAGTGCCATCTTCGAACAAGCATAGACTACTCCCAAGCGATGACAGCCGTCAATGTCATAACTTGACGTTTCGCAAAGCACCATAGATCTTGACAGATGACAGCTGCAGGTGACAGATGGCGTTTCGCACAATCGAAGCGCCTTCTCGCCGACATATACATTACAAGTAGAACATCCTTAACTTCATGTACGACATGACACTAAAGATGTCGGTGATTTATTGTAAAATATTCATGCTTGTTCATATTGGGGCCATTTTCGACGATGTCCTTTACTTGAATTTGCACGAATTTATTTATTTTTATTTAAAGATTAGCAAATTCACTCAAAAATATTTTACATTTTATTGCTAACGCATATAAAGCTATATTTACGTGTTCGTAGATGGATGTGTACATATGCATACGTATGGCATAAAGCTATTTTTTTTTATTTGTTGTATTATATTTATTGTATTGTATATTATAATGATACCTTTTGAATCATTTTTCCAGATTTGTCAATTATATATGCCGTAAAATCTGCTTCTTTAAAATGTTTTTCACAAACATAAAAGCTTTCACCAACATCAAGGTTAGGAAACACATCACGAATAGCTTTTAACCACTCTTCACGTCTATCAATGTTCTTTGGCACTCTAAAAACTGAACGATTCGCTTCTCCAAAACAACCCGGAATTATGCAACGTTGTGGCATAATTGCATTTATAAATGAATAATTAAAAAAAAAATAAACAAATTGAAGACACTAAATAAAAAAATATTCACTAGCGCCAACAGATGGCGTTAGTGCATATACTCCTGCTGACAGAATGCCCCTCCTCCTGCAGAGCAAGCATAGTTCACTTATATGCCAATAGATGGCGTTAGTGCATATACTCCTGCTCACAGAATGACCCCCCTGTAGAACGAAAACATAGACGTATCCACGTCAAAAAAATGTGAACCGAGTTCGTCCTCGATATCAAAGCCCACCCGCCAGCCAGCCGCCAGGCGGCTTCATTATTCTGTCGGTATTTTCCGGCCGCTCAGTCACCGCCGACCTTTTGCGCTGGAGTGTTGTTGCGCATCGCCGCCGACGCACCGCTGCGAAGCATCTTTTTTGTCGATTTTTGTTTTGTTCTGGTGCATTTTTAATTGAATTTTTGTTAATAAGATACTAGAGTGTTCGTCTTGAGTGTTAAGTTTAGTTTAGTAAAGATTGTGTTTAGTTTTGTGTGAAATGTGATGTGTTTTGCGCGTGCATGCGCGGCATTGAAAAGAGCGTGCTTAGCTCAGTCTTCAGAGAGGAAGTGGACATTTTCAGCATCGACTATCATTAAGATATCGGTAAATAATTAAATTAAATTTATGTATTTCGCGGTTCGTTGTAATCTGCACACAATCGATATTGCGCATGCGCGTTATAGGGCTGTCAACACTTAGAAATTTAAAATTTTTACTCCATTTTTACACCTCCTCTATTTTTAAATATTTGTGAAATAAAATGAACGTTTGCATGTAACCTAACTTGAAACTTTCGATTATGTCGGTCATTTTGTTCCTCCTAGTATAGACACAGCATTATTGATGATAATTTACCATTAATACAAGTAATGTAGGAATTGTAGGAGACCAAACAGGTAGCCTATTATAATAAACGTGTGATGTATAGGTGATTCCACGGGCTGGAGTAGTGACAGCTATACTATACTGACATTCGAATGCGTTCATAAATATTTATTTTATACGTTCAAAAATTTAAAAACTAAAAATATCTTAGCCAATTTAGGAATTTTATATTGCAAGATCTTGAATTGAATTAAATCGGTCCGATTCGAGGTGTTGATACATCAAGAATCGATATTACATTCCAAATCGATCTGCATATCAAAAATTTCACACTAAATGATCGATTTTTGGATATCAAATCGACATGCCTAGTGTGTGTATACCTACTAAGTCTGTGGTATCCTGTGGTGGTATCTCTTTTTTGGTCTGTAATCACTAATCGCTACGTGTATTCTCTGAAAAGTCTAAAGCGTTGAAAACTAAAAATGACCTCTCTTTTGTCTGTAATTCCCAAGTTATATCAAGAATACACAACTAAAACACCTAAGAAACTTAAAATAATAGATGCTTATTTATTATATATTTTCCTTACCGCAGTTATACAGTTCGTTTATTGTTGTCTTGTTGGAACATTCCCTTTTAACTCTTTTCTTAGCGGCTTTATTTCCACAGTTAGTTCTTTTGTATTAGGAGGTATGTATTTTCTTTTCTTATCTATTTAAATGGACGTTGTTGATTTAGAAAATAAATAACCTATGTACTAATCTCGGATGAAAAGAAATACTTTACTGTTTATTTTTCAACTGCTCTTGTGTTATTTGTCATTAATTTATTTTCAGTATGCTTAAGACTTCAAGTGAATCCAGACAACAAGAATGAGTTTCAAGGCTTGAGTGCTGAACGAGGTTTTGCTGATTTTATTTTTGCTCACCTAGTGTTACACATTGTTGTGATCAACTTCATTGGGTAGACTGGTAAAATCTTTACAACTATTTAATGTAATAAATAATTTTTACAATTTTTGACTGTTTATAACTGTTGATACAGTTTTATAGCCCTATCCCAGAGTTGAATTGAGTGTATTCCTCCACCTCCAGTTCCTATTAGAATTCCTCCATAAATTTGAACTCACAATACTTGAATGACATTTATGCTGTTGAAAAAGTTAAAACATTGGTTATTATTCCCAGTCCTCCAATTGGAACTCAAGATTGGTAAGAGAAGCAGGAATATTTTTTACCATACATCCAATTTATTGGGTTTTGTTCTCATCGCATTACTAAATTGAATACTGTATTTTTTGCAAGCTACATCATAAGCGGGGTGACATAGGCATAATCCATGAATATTATAGTCGTCATTATATCAATAGCTTAAAGACTAATTGATCCAAGCCATATTAGTCAAAACAAGTAATAACTTGAGAGTATCTAATGATTGATTTATTTAATATTTGATCTTTTAAGTCTTAAGTGCACTTATACATATTAAATATAACATAGTATGTGTGCGAGAATTCTTATTTCCTACTTACTATAATAAACTTTATTATGTAAACATAAGCATTTAATTTTAAGGGAAAATAAAGAAATTAATCGTTCACACTTTGTGATCAAATTACGAAGAAAACCCAACATTTCTATTAAGTAAAATGGCCAATGTCGCTAGTATCACATCAGGTTGGTTAATTTTTTAGCTGATACTCAATACTGAAACAAACAATAATTATTGTTTGAGATATATATATATATATATATATACATATACATTGATATTTATCAGTGAACCCTATTGTTTAAAAATATTTGCGTAAAATGTTATTTTTTCAAGTATTACTTCTCTTGACTATAGATATGAGTGTTATAATTTTTGTTTGTAAAATGAAAAACAAGTATTTATTATTATTAATGTTTATTTTGACTAGTCATGAATCAATTTTAAAACAATTATACAGAGTGTAACAACAATTCTCTTAAATTATTTATTGTAATACAAGCAATCAAAAGCCAGATTCATTACAATATGTTTAATAAGTAAGTACTTTAACATAACAATTATTCATTACAGAAAAATTCTAAATTAAATAACCAAGTAGTGAAAGGAGGGCCGTGCCAGAGATGAGTGTTTCTGAAGTGTTAGATGTAAAACAAAAATGAGAATAAATACAGTGTAAACTCTTGAATGCAATGGCTTATAGCCCAGGGCCGTAATTCTGCTAAAGTTAGCATATTATGGCAAGTCAATTACATGTATTTTTGATAGAGTTCTGATTACTAGATGATAAATAATTAATATATCTATTGATATCTTATATTTTTACAAGCATTATCCATTACATGAATATATCTGTGTCACCATTGATTTGTAAAGATGATATGGTACTAATCATATCGAGCCTTAGAATTGAGATGCTATTATTATGTTAACATTATTGCCCCGTCACCGAACAGAGGTAATCTTATATCCAATGAACTTGCAATGATGCACGGCTGCCCCATTCCAAAACCTAGGAAGTTGAAAAGTTGAAATTGTTTTTTTTTTCTTAAAAATGAACTTTTATCAAAAGCAAAGTTTAAACCACTTCAAAACCTCGTATCTCTCTAGTATGTGATAGCACAGATTCTTGAAATGGTTTTTCTAAATTATTTTGTCATAGTAAAGTGAACCTAAAATGTTTACAATATCTGTCAGTAGGTACAAAGGTCAACGTACGAGATTCTCTCTGTTCGGCGACCCCGGTATAGGAGAATCGATGCCCCGGAGTGCTATTATGATGACTACTGACGACAGTCCAAGGCTGCTCCACAAAATAACATCACTGTGAATTGTGACTAAATACAATATAAGAAGTTGGGTGTTTATATTGTACCACACTCTAAACTAAATACTTTTTAATTTGTATTTATTTTAACATTATTCTGTTGTCACATGTGGTTAGTTCACATAAATATTCTATCTAAGTTGTAAACAGATTTCGAAATGATTGAAGCTTGATTTGTGGCCATATAATTGCCACAGTTACCTTACATTGACATCAAGTATGTAATTGATCTTGAAATTAAACAATATCAAGGACAGAGTATACACTTTTTAACATATTATTATTGCACATGCATAATAACATAGCGTTGATCTAAAAAACAAAAAGATTGAAAATAACCTTTTATTTATGTAACATTGATTATTATTATGCCTGTCATTGTCAGTGAACTAAATGACTTTCAGAACTACTTCTGCTTTAGTTTGTAGAGCAAACTACCAATTTTTAAGACAACGTGATGTTGATCGTCATGTGCAATATATTGGAAACTAATTTATTATGTATTATCGTCAATGAAACGCGAGTATATTATATGATTATGCAATCGATAACTTGGTTGATGTCGTGACAACATCTCTTATCTAATATTTTTAATTAACTCTGTTTTAATCTATCTAACTATTTCGTTTCTATGAGTCTATTTTACTACATAATAACATTATAATAAAATCATAAGTGTTTAATTTTTTATATTAATTTTTGACATTGAATTACTGTATTACTGGTAAACTACTGAACTAATTATTATAAAAAAGGACTAATTAAAAATGTTAGGAAGTATTGCCACGTTATCGATGACACGTGGCGTAATTGAAATATACACGTCAATATTGTTATCCAGAATGTATGTGTGTATTCATACAGTATTGAATGTGCGTAAAATTTTGACAAAACAAATCAAATAAAGAGACTCGTTTTGCAAGACCGATACGTTTTATATATAAAAATAAAATTTATCAAGCAATTTGAACGATAGAAGAAATAAAAAATAAACTTTACGTTTGCAAGCTCTGGATCGTAAACAGCAAAAACGATTCACCAACGTTCGCACCGACAATTCGTGGAGACAGTGCAATTTCATATTTATATAGATTTACTTTTTTTAGAAAAATACACTCTTAATTATATATTGAAATAATAAATAATGAGCCGCTACAAAGTGACTACTGGTACTCTCCCCCTCCCCTTCCGTTCCGAGTCCAAATATCCATATTATTTCTACTAGTGCGTACCGACACGCTTTAATATATCACAAAAATTAAAAAAAAATGTTATGTCTAGACATACATTTTACTAATAATTGTATGTATATTTTTCACTAAGAGCGTTATCGCTCCCGGGGGAGATATTTCAGAAGAAACAGATGCATCAACCGAACCTATATTCATCGATAGAATAATCTTCGATTGCGAGCTGACGGTGATCAAACTCTTATAATTTTTTATACAAAAAATATTGTGCACGTACGTTAAAGCCTTCGATCAACGATACAACTAGATGTCCATCCGGTCAGTCTCAAAAATGGCCGAAGAAATAAAGCCTCACTTCAAAGTGAGGATTTTAGTTTCTTTGCGACGGCGCCAAAGTTCGGACGTGTTACGATGTCACAGTGTGTATTATATTCTATAAACTGTTTTAAATAAGTCAGTATATGTGCTTATTCCCACAAAAATATTATTTGATGTAAATTTAACCTTAATTATGTAGCCAAAACAATGTTTAAATAACCACATAAACGGCGGCTCTGGGGACGTGACGTCATTCGTGGGGAAACAAAAAGGGATTTTCAGTGGAAAATAAATGAATTATAGTATTCAGTACGTACAGTCAAAATCATAAATAAATAATACAGAAGACTGACCCCTGTAACTTGATTAAAATCATTTTGCACTTTGAACTAGAGTATTATCACATAATATATCCTGCGGTATTACTTTCCTTGTTTGTCGAATTGGGCGGTGCCGTATTTGAGTATTGTTTTAGTAGGCGTTATCTAGTTGTATTGTTGATCGAAGATCAAAACATACAGTTTAAGGATGAGGAATCCACTGAGGCGGGCGTGCAACTCATTAACGTGTCTGCTTTTAGCATAAATAATATTCTACAGCGATCGATACGTTCCAGTTAATATCACAATGATTTAATATACCGTGGAGGGGGCGGGGAGCTCTCTCCGTCACGGGTCGGACGCTTCGCCCGCGTATCTCTATAATTATACTACAATCTAGATCCGAAAATATCTAATAAAAATATCACAAAACGTGAAACGTCCCTAACTAAACGATTCTGGCTCACGAATAAATACGTAGTTTCACCACGACGAGCGCAATCGCCACTGGAGCGGCGTTCTTTCCATTAAAACAGGATAAAGATCCGGAACGTTCTATATATGTACAGGTATCGTTCCACGTCACAGTTCATACCTTCGCACCGGAGCGACATATAAACTATGCGAAAAGCGAGATATAAACTATGCGTGAATTTTAATTTTAAATATCAGCACTTCGCCCCCTCGCGGGGCACACTGCGAGGGGCCGCCCTCGGTGAAGTGTGATCTTTAACGATAAATCACGCGGTTAACATGAGACGGTCGCAGGAGTCGGGGGGCGGCGGCGGTGCGGGGCGCGGGGGCGGGCGCTCAGCTGCCGGGGGCGGGCGCGGGGGCGGGGGCGGGGGCGCGCGCCAGGTACCTGCGGCGGGCGGCGCGCAGCAGGCGCAGCTTGCGGCGGCGCAGCATCTGCTCGCGCGCGCCCGCCGTGCCGGGGAACGCCTCCCCCTCCTGCTCCCCCTCCGACGGCGCCTCCTCCACGCCGCCGCTGCACTCGCTGCTAATATTAGATCACATCAAATAAACGATACGTGTCTCTCCGCCCTGGACTCTCATCTGACTCGCAATTTACGTTTCCGTGTTCCACACTCAGATCTAACGACAAAAAAACCTAATTTTGATGCGCCCAGGTTTAGTTTAGATTATCGCATCGATTCGAGTCGTTTATATCTATCGCGACTCTCGGTTCGCCGAGAAGATTACGACTTTAATATAAAAAAGCTTGCGGTTCTTATTTTTTAATTCGAGTCCCGATGAGCAGTGATACTTCCGAGACCACGGACCAAATAATTGTCACACCTACACATTTATTTAGAGTCGTCTGAATAAATGAATTTAGAGTCACCTAAATAAATGTGCCGGTGTGACACAGAACTGAACGAGTGTGTTTCGAATAATTTTAGGTCGAGTTTAGTTTTTCGTTTCTGACGTTCGTAATTTTGAAAATGAGAAAAATCCTGATTGCATATACAATCAAGCGGTACATCCGTATTATATGTACGCACTCACCTATCGAGTGTGGGCGCAGAGGCGGAGGCGGGCGCGGGGGCGGGGGTGGGAGCGGGCGCTGTCACCGTTGGCTCTGTACAAGACACACGTTATATATACCGGGTGTTACAAAAATACCCGTTATAGCTGAAGGGTGTTGAAGTATATCATATAAACAGTACTCAGCCAAATTTTCAAAACCTTTGCATTAACTTTTAACTTTCAGTAAAAAGGCTAATTTTTAATAATTAATAAATACATCGAGTGTGCTATGTCACATTACTATTTTAGGTTAATGACCTTACCAGGAGTAATGGCACACTATCTATCTCCTATGTTTTCTAATTTTTATTTTCTATTCTCCTAGTACACACCCACACATACACACTAAGAATGAGAGAGAAAATATACTTAAAAACACGTCTGCGTTTGCCAGTTTACACAGTAAATACTTAACCTATTTCGATCGAAAATAAAATGAAAAGAAATTAAATAGGAATCAAATCATTGGCAAAATGGTATGGTAACCGACGCTGTTCAGCCGGTAGTCTAATTTCAGTAAAAAAAATTATAATACATATTATTATCAACGCGCACATCATTTCATAGCATCGTTTCCGACTCAGCTGTTTCTGAATTACAGATCAAACACCATTTTAAGTAGTACCTATTTATGATAGATAGGTAAAATTTATTTAAACACTGATATACGAGTCTAACTTTTAGTTCATACTTTAATGGTCCGACAAATCTGATTGATATTACGATAATAAAAAAAAAATGATATGCGACATAATTCACAAACGATTTTGGCGTATTTAAAAATAAATATTTGCGAATTACTATTTGTACTTTACCTTTTCACTTCCTTATTCACTGTTTAAGCATTACTTGTGAGGTTCAATCACCTACACTTTATTAGGCACTTAATTTTATTCCACAAGAAAAAACTAAAGATCGCGGCCAACCTCTGGTTCACTGACGTTTCAGTATAATTACATCTTTTCAAAATAGTCTCAATTTATATCAATACAACACTGCATCCCATGTAACACTGATAAAAGCACTTTTCATAGAACTCGGAATTAGAGAACGGACATTTTCGAAACGTGATCACATCGACGACGTATGAACAACTGAATAAAGAAAAAGTGATAAAAAGGGAAAGCCGCCAATTTGAGTCCTTTATTATAAGCCGCTGCATAGTGTGCGGCATGTCAAAGGCGCACAGAAAGGTACCTATAGTTCCGCAATTAAATCTGAGAAGTAGCGGGATAGGGTTGCCATCTTCTCTTATTAGATCGGAAATTTTGTCCTTAAAGCCGGACTAAGTCAAATCTCTCGCGAAGCCGTAAAACAATATTACCGTAGTAGACAGTAATATTAGTTCACGGCTTCGCGAGGGTTACTGCCTAGTTATTCAGAGGGTGCGTTAAGCAAAAATCACTAACTTTCAATTGATTTTGTAGTAAGACGTAACATACAAATAAGCGGTAATTAAAGATAAGATAACTACATCATAATTTTAACGCTTTTATCACAGCCAAAACGTGAATTCATAAAATAAGGCTTGATCGTAACATCAAAACTGCACAACCTATTTTGAAAAAAGTTTTTTTTATAAAGTAATTTCGGAGACTATACGATGCAAACAAACTAACGATTTGTATTCAAATTTCGCAATGCCCGTGCAACACTGCGTCTTTTTGGGTATTTGACGTTTTTCGAATTTGTGTGTATTCAGTTTATTTGATATAGCTTCGGCACAGGTATACCAAAAACCTATGAAAACTATACCGCCGGACATGTGACATTAACATTTAGCTGCACACAATCTAAAAAGTCAAACATGTCCCGCTAAAGACGGATAGATGACAACCCTAGACAGGCGGCAATGTTAAAGTTTGAGCCTAAACTTCTAGTTGCCTAGTACCGAGATGATCAACATTTTATTGTACAAATTAAAAAAATCGTCGCAGGACATTGTTGCAACTAATTTTTTTACATACGTACGTAAGTACATAATACGTTACGTATTATGAACGTTACGTATTAGGAATTGTTAATTGACAAAGATTTTGTAAATTTTTATTGTTGTTGATAAGATAGTACATGGTTGTATTTTTAGTATTTACAAATTTAAACGTTGTTAATGTTTGGTAAAGACTAGTTTAAGTGAGAAATGTGATATACTTTCACGCTGCACCTGCAAACGAGCATGCTTGGCTCAGTCTGTAGAGAGGAAGTAGCATCGACTATCATAAGACATCGTTAAATAAATAAATTAATGTATTTCGTGGGCCGTAGTAATCTGCATACAATCGACATACCTGTTTAAAATTTTAATTCATTTTATACACCTTTTCTATTTTGAACTATTTTTCAAATAAATGACCATTTGTTTGTTAGCTGTGTCGGTCGTTTTAGGGCTTTTTCTATTTAAAGAAATAGGTAAACAGTACATAATAAAACGTCTCATTCATTTTCATTTCTTACAGCATTAAAATAGTGAATCCTATACTCTGATTCTAAAATTCAGTTGAATAGCCCACAGTAATAAAATAGATAATAAATTAAAATCCGTACCAAATGTTTACTACTACCGTATCTAGCATCAAGTAGTCACTCGCGCGCGACATCACACAAACACGAAAGATAATGTTTCGTTTCTTTCTCTCTCTCTCTTTCCCTCCCTCTCTATCTCTATCTTACGTCATTGTACACTCGGGGAAATAAGTGAATTTGTTTTAGGCTCGATTTTACCGATTATGTATTGATTTGTCTTACGTATTTAAATACCTAAACAATAAAAAATATTTTTAAGAGTTAAGCTAATGAAGTTATTTCTTAGCACCGGATACAACCCTTCCTGCGCGAGTCCAACTCTCACGTGGCCGGTTTTTTTTTATAATTAGTTGTTAGCAGTTTGATAAAACTAGGACTTTTGACTAGTGAAATATAAAAAAACTTCAGTTATTGAGAATATTCAGTTGAGATTTTGTACTTTTCTCAATTCAGAAAGCGGCTCTTTGTCGACATTTTTTCTTGTCAGACGCTTTTAAGATACCTAAGTGTAGTGCATATCATTAACTCTAAGGTAGCAATCCATTTTACTTGAAACAATTTACATGTAGTAAGAGTAAGTGGTTGAAACCATAATCGGGAATGATCATATTCCCGATTAAGGTTCATATTCCATTTTAAGTCTGATCTTTTTATTGTAAAAATATTAGAAAAGAAATAAATTGACCATAAACACAATTGAAATATGTACACGAATATTGATCAATGTTTCAATTTATTCCCCGACTGTATCTGCGCTGACGTCATATTAGGTTTACTTTCGTAACAGAAGATTGTAGGTACGAGTACCAGGTTATCATGATTTAAAGATACGATGTGTAAAAATTCTGGTTCAAAGATGAAGCAGCTACAGATAGACAAAGTTACCTGGAAGACACTCAGTGATATAAGTCGCCTACTTTCATAATATTGTAATTATTTTCATAAAAATGAAACTACCTAATTATGAAAAAAAATTGTTCGTGCAATAACGAATATTCTACTTATCTAGAGGTCGCGATATTTCTTCTTCCTCTGCTTCTCTATTTGTTTAGATTAGATGAAATTGATTTTATGAGTACATTATTGAGTGACGTGTCGTAGCATTAATTATAAAGATTATTATTTTGGATGGGCCGTCTACAGTTCGTAAAGAGATATTGTACGAGCATTTCAGGCGAAAGTATTTAATCCAGTGCAGTGACTATAGCGTACTGTTTATTGTTTGTTTCCGTGCCTGATATGTGCGTAGCACGGGCATAGTAATATGGCAAGGTATATTGGAAAGGGAGCTCTAATCTGAATAAAAACGAATTTTGGAAATAGTTTTAAAATAATGTTTTCGTGTAATATTTTGCATGTTCGAATATTTGCGTATGTACACATAACTAGATAAATTATTTCGCTGTACTGTGACGTAGGCACTAAATACCAGTAGATATAACCAGTCTGGCAAAATAATAGTCTTTGATTTAGAAGTCAATGAACTGAAACAGCTGATCATAATGTCGGTGTGCTTCGATAAATGGTATCGAAAATTTTGCTAAACTTCGATATTGTTTTTTTCAATAAATACAATGGCTACGATATAAAGGACAGCGTCCATTATCTCAGTTTTATGTATACTCAATGCCATTTTCGGGGTAACGGGTTTTTTTGTAACACGCGGTATATATATATACATATATAGGAGACAGTTGCTCAGAGCGGTCACTGTGGGGAACTATCGAATTGCGAGACATGGACCTCAGGTGCCGTTTCATCGATTTAAATAACTAGAAAAATTGCATTCATAAATAAATTAAAAAAAATTGGTAATCGACTTCGGACGTCTTGAAAAAATAAAACTTACAATATCTCTACTCAGATACAGTTTCGTGTAGGTCGGATGCATCGTGTAATCATTTATTTTAGGTGGTATTTGAAACGTTTCATTCATTTTAAACATCACGTTTCATTGTTATTATAATACCAATATTACTACATTAAACATTCGAGGCTCACACGTTCGGCATCCGAGTAAAAACAATGCAAGTCGGGGTCTTATTTTTTAACAGACTTTCCCCCTGCGACCATTCCGAGCGTCCACTGTGTACTGTAAGTAACTGTTGAAGTGGCGTGTAGAGACCTGGCGGTGTGGGGGCGGGTGTGGGGGGCGGGGGCGGGGGCAGGCGCCCCTCGAGGATGTTGTCGATGGTGAGCGCGGCGGAGCGCGTGTGCGCCAGCTCGGCCGCCAGCACGCCCGCGCCGTACTGCGGGAACATCGCCTGCACCTGCGCGCCAACCAACGTATACACACATACACTCACTGTACACTCACTGTGCACGCGACACTCAATAGGCTATCATAAAATAATACCTAAACGTATGAGGGAAAACTTAAGTTCAAAAAAACATCAATCATGTCCACCTTCCGTACGGTGATTGACCTGTCACGTTTTTTTAAATGTCGTGTCCACCTACCATGATTGATAATTTAAATTAGTTTTTGCTTAAATTAGAAATCATTCGCAGACCGGAAAGAGTTGTAATGCGATATATCGGCTGTCAAATCTTGAGATAATTGTGAAGCTCCTTTAAAAATTAAAATTAAAGCTTCCTATAGTTTGTCTCGCTAATGCGGTAAATAAATTAGTATGTAATTGTTAATGTGCACTTTTTAACTTTATGACTAATTAATATATTTCCGTAGTAGACGAAACGCAAACCGTCGTTGTACGTTCCGAATCACATTGGGGTAATTTTTTGAAAATATTTATCAGCCTCGCATTTTTCATCCTGACTTTATTTTAAGACTCAATCACACACATTATGAAATAAGTAAAAAATGAAGCTACATTTTGAGATATATCCCATCACTAGACGCGTTGGTAAATTTTTCGTCAGAATTGGACATGATTCTTTAACTGACGAGTCAGTTTCCATTTTTCACCGAACGCGATCTCTTCTCTTCTTTTCTTGAATAAGTAGTTTTTGAGACATATTTTTTCAAAAGTTTGAAGTTGGTTCTATTTGTTTTACAGTTTTTATTCATGCCTTTTCGTGATATTAATATTTTTTTTTTTAAATAATAGATTACATTAAAAATATTAAATATCTATAAATAAAAATATTCGATTAACATTCCTACTTTCATAAAATATATACATACTCCTTGAACACAGAATATTCACTTTTTAAAGGGACCATCTCGGTCCATTAAACTGTCCAATAGAAAAATAATTTAGAAAATTGGTCATCAATTTTCTAAATTATTATAGCGAATGTATCGGTGAACGTAAATAAAAACAATAAAAAAACATATATCGCCGTTAAATATACGACCTCCTCCTTTCTCTGTGAGAATAAATAGTTGAGTTATTGTACTGTTCTCACCTGCCGGACCATGGCGTCAATCTGCGAGCCGGCGAGGGGCTCCATGCGTACTCGCGTCACCTCCACAGAGAAACTGGGCAGCCACGACACGTAGCGAGACCCTGCAAACGGACACTATATGGTAATCATCCACGATCATCGCGATCGATGGGGCGAGACCTCGCATCTCATGACCCAAATAAGTAAAAAAGAAAATATTTAAACACTTTTTAATATCACTGTACAATAATTAAATATATACCTGTATATGTAAGCATAAAATGTGTGAATAAATATATTACAGTAAATACAACAACTGAACTGACCGTGGGGTGAAAAGCGTACTCCGGGAAGGCCTCGAATGCGGCGAGACAATGATAGCAAAAGAACCGTAGGGAAAAGTGGGACGAGTGTTTAAAAAACCGTTGCGTGTTGCGTAAATTGAAGGCAGCCTACACCCTCAGGCTTCCTTTTTTACTTCTGGATAAATATAATAGTGCCAACCGGTCAGATTCCATATGCCGGCGTCCGGCATCCGGCGGCGGCGCGCCCCACACGGCGACGTGCGCACACGCTGTACGGTTCACGCGCTCACCGCACCACTCTTCACTTTAATGGTTTTGTTCAAATCTAGCACTAATAATTTATCTTCTATGACAACTGACATTTGACAGACGCGTTTGAATAATCTTCTTCGTTTTTTGACGGGTCGGTTGGAGGTTGTGTATTTAAAAAGTTTTGGTTATTTATAAACTTTTTACCCGATTTCCTTTTAATAATTAAATATTCGATTGATCATCGCCATCTTTCATTCATTTCATTTTCATTTTACATGTAGAAATTTATTTATTCACTTGACATTGGCAGAATTGTGCGAAATGCGCAGATAAGCCATTAATAAAAGAAGAAGAATTAAATATTCTTCAGACCCGCTGAACGGATTTTGATAGTTGAGGTATCGTTAGATTTGTCTTAGCGGCCCGAGGTAACGTTTAAAAGTAAATATTATAGCGGCTGTGTGACGTCATTATATTTAATGATTTTTTTTTTGTTTCAAATTCAAATAATGATTTGACTTACTATTCAATTTCACGCCTCCGACTGCATATTATGTAAGCTGTTGCATAGAATTTTTATCTTATTCCAGCCTTTTAAGTTAATTGTTTCCTCGAAGATGGGCTTTTTAAATATTTATTTAATACTATTTAGGTATAATTCAACTGTCGCGATCTGTTGCAAACAAAATATTTCTAAAAGCAATGAATTTCAGTGAGAGAGAATCCTGATAAAAAAAGTGGACAACAACATAGGCAGTACCGGGACCATCCAGACAGGAAAGAGAATAGTTTTTTACAGACTTCAAAAAAAGTAGATTATTAATTCGAAGTGTATGTATGTCCTTTCGTTAGGATGACGTAATATACATGTATATTGATCTGTATGGGTCTAAACACGTGTACATAATGTTATATTCAAATTCATTTATTCGGCGCATGCCCATAGGACACTTAAATATACATAATAATTAATCACATGCCTAATATTAGAATAAATATTAGATTAAATGTACAATCACAAACAATAGGATATTCAACATTAAAATAATATTGTGTCCTACGACTGCATTAAATAGGTATCTAGCTCGGCATTTGTCGGTCTGCTTACTTTTCAGATACGAGCACGGTTAATTTATTTTTAATATGTCTTTACTACATCTTTGTTTAATTTGACGTATATACGCAGATATGAGGGAGAAAAACGTACATAAACCACAAGAAAATGTGATTTGCAAAGCTACGTCCTGATTTCGAAAAGTGGTGCGGTTTTTGGACGAGATTGCCTCTGTAATTATTAGCTCATTGCACGGACGTAATGTTTGAAATACACGCACACGTACGAGGAGGAAGTTATGCGTCGACAGTTGAATAACGAATCTGCGACCCTATCACCTTAACAACACAATGGTACTGCAAAAAACTACTAACGACAACAAAAACACACGGGACGCCCGACGCGGTCGCTCGGAAACATTTCCTAAGGACGTCGCCGGTCACTACACGCAAAGCATTCTCCATAGAAGAAAGGAGCAGATAGACCCGGTGAACGACGATGGGAGGAAAAAAGAAACATTAAAAACGGTCGAACGATGAACGAGCGAACACTCACCGTCGAAGTGGAACAGCTGGCCGGGATGTCGGGGCGGCGGCGGCGGCGGCCCGTCGTCCAGCAGGCGCAGCGCCCCCGCCCCCGCCCCCGCGGCGGCCCCCTGCGCCCCCGCCCCCGCCCCCGCGCCCGCCCCCGCGTCCAGCGCGCGGCGGCACGTGGGGCACGACGCGTCCTGCTGCACCCACTGGCACAGGCACGAGCTGCCACAACACCGCACGTGAATGTAAAGTAGCGACGGTTTCGTCGAGCCTTTTTTCTTCTTTATCTCCGAAGTTAAGTCGGACTCCGCAGTTGTCCCCGAGCGAGTCGGGCTCGGACCCCGAAGATTTCGTCTCGATGTTATATTTTCATTCGGATTTAGATAGGCTAAAGCCAGTTTAGAGCCATCGGAAAATACGAGTACCTAATTGTTCCCTCGAATGTCTAAACGTGCGTTTCTTGCGATATAAATGGACGTATTATTTTCATGTCAATATAGAGCATTCTCCCTATAGAGCTGAGTATGTACGGTATTATTGACAGACAGACGGACGACGAAATGGTCCAATAATTTCTTTCGCCATCCAGAAAAATAGAACGAATCGAGTCTTTGTAATTTAATCTACGCTAGTTTCCAATCTATAGAAATAGATTATACACTCGATTACATTTTAACTATCAATCATTAAGAATAAATAAGAAGTCTGTAAATAAAAAATTATGTCCTTCTACCTAATGATTAACGTGTGACTAAATATATAAAAAAATAATGACGTTCCAGTTGACCGACAACACAACAAACGTTGCCATATACTCACTTGTGGAACAGATGTGAGCAGGGCAGTTTACGCGCCTCCTTCATCGGTTCCCAGCAGATGGCGCAGTTGTCCTGGTTCTTCTCCACCTCCTCCTTGCTGGCCATCGGGTAACTGCATCAAACGTTTAATTAAAATTCGAAACATGCGTGTACACAGGTTGAGTATATTCAGCCCACCGATAGTGGAATCATTACAGGCCGGTATACCCATTATACAATAGTCGAGATGCACTGTCCAGTTCGCATTGTTGTAAGAATAAAGATGGCACATTCCGCCAATACGGGTGTAGACAGAAAACGAAAATAAATACACATTATTTTTTTCAGGTATTGTTTAATATACTTTTACCGATAATCACACTTTTATGCTTTTTTTATATTATAATATTGCATAAATTAATTATGAAAAAACAAATATTTTCTGCTCGTTGTCACGTGACCGCAAACAGCGCGTAAAAACAAAAAAGTCGTCTTCACCCATATTATTTGCCTTTTTTGTTATTTATTTCATTAAAAAAATCACAAATATTAAACAACATCACATACATTGTTCAGATTCAAAAATAAGTAGCTAAAGCCCCCGTATTATGGAGTAACTGAGACAACGAAGGTGCCACAACAACCAGACCCGAGATAATATAGAAAAGTCAATTTTGTATATTGAGACCACACGATATAGCATGCAACACTAGAAAAATTATTTTACATTAGAAATTCCATTTTCTGCAGGCTGATAACGATATTGTACAAAGTATGTGGCAGACCGCAGTACTAATGCGAGCTGCTTATATCTCGTCTTTATTATTGTTAGTTTAATAACCGACTTCAGAAAAGGAGTTTATCAATTCGAGTTTTATATATATAATTTCATTATAATGACGTAACATTCATATATGTTGGTGGTAATTGTGTTGGAACATGGCGCAATATTCATATATGCTAGTCTATACGAGTACGCGCGTCTAAATACGCGCGCCACATTTTGTAGGTGTATATTATGTATACTTGACAACGTATTTCTCGTAAATTAGACATTGGACTAAAATGATAATTTTTTGTTTGATTAACTATTTTCAACTTAGGGAATAGCATAATAGAGAACTTACCAAATGACTTACGAAACGAACTGTAACCAAAATAGTAAGTTGGTAAGTTAGAACTGCGACCCCAACAAAAATAATAATGCTTAAGTTAGAACTGCTACTATTAGAAAATTTGCATTCAAAATGTTATACTAGAAAATATTATATTAAAAAATGCTTAAACAATCCGCTTTGTCCTGGCACACTGAGATGGGATTCGAACCCACGAGCTTTTGGAAGTTTAAAGCATTTTTCATTAATAATATTTTCCAGTATAGCATCGTGAAAGCAGAATTGATCTAACATAATAATATTATATTTTCCCCCAAAAAACATAATGACCAGTCTCGATTACGTTCTTAATTAATTCTAAAATAATCACAATACAGGTTTCCTTTGTTTACGACTATTTACATTTCATTTTAATTGTAATGATATAAACATAATTATGCTAGTTGTGCGCAAATGATTGCTAATAGTTTGCTCATTAAAAGTATGCCTAATTACATTAACAGTTATCTTAGATAATGGTATAATAGTACAGTTTTAAATATTATACCACCTTAGACGACTGGCATACATTACATCGATATTCAAATTCTACTGTAAAAATACTTTGTTTTTTGAAATCAAGTTATTTGCAGTTTACTGCAATAAAATGTTTACTTCACTTAATAAGTAAATAACAGAGTGCTACGGTTTATAATTTTTAAGCCCAATTGAACGTTTTAAAATTACCAGGTTTTTTTATTTAAAACAAGTTGTTTCCATCCGACTTCATCCACTTAAATTATTGCCCGTGTCACTCTCGTTCGCGTGTGGTGTAGCTTTCCGTAGTTGATTTTTTTTTAATGATCGGATCTGTATTTCCGTATATAAACAAGCATACAAACAAATTTAGGAAAGTTACTTCCTTATAATATTGGATATGTATTAATTGGTCACATTGATCATATCGCACCCCCGGTGCGACACTGTCACTTTTGCAAAAAATACAAAAATTAGTTAAATATGTAATAATTGTCCTAAAGCCCCCTTTACTTGATGCGATAATGTTACTTTTGTAGATGAATCATACGGAACTATGTTCCATCTCATCTGTATCTTCTAAAGTCATTGTTTTGTGAGGTGGCAGAGTTTAAAACTCTTCTCCTGAAAAACTAATTTTTTGCATAAGTGACAGTGTCGCACCGGGAGTGCGATATGTATTGTTGATTTTTCTCGAACTAGGCGAAATTTAGCGGTAATATTAAATTATTTAATATTTATGTAAATAAATTAATTTTCTATTTTAATGTAAACTCGATCAGTTCGCGTTTCCGCTCAGTACTTTTAGAGCAAACCGTCTGTGAATGGTAAAAAAGAAATGACACATTTTTATTGACCATGACCAATGAACCAAAAAGAAAGAAGAATGGATGAATGTACATAGGTATATATTTTATCACGCTTATTATTAAATTCACTTCAACCATTATGATCTAATGGAACAACAAATATAATATGCGACGTAATGAATTAATCGATTAAGAAGATAATATTGTTTTTGCAATTAAGTACAATTAGTTGTTAATCGTCAGTTAATAAAAATATACAGAACTGTAATCATTACGAAATAATCATATTATATAAAAATATAAACTACTTGACCCGCGTACGACGGAGGGTCCCGTAGTTGGGATTATTTTAAATCGGACCATTTTCGGAGCTTGTTAATTGCAAACAATTAATAAACTCTAATGTCGGTGTTTATATTTCTAATAATTAAATTTCATTGCATAATTCATATGAAAATGTCATAACTAGAATTCGTGTTTTTTTGCGCTATAAGAATATGCATTATTATATTAGTCATTATACTTTTTGCGGAATTTTGTAAAAAAAAATATTACAATGACTTTTCCTGCGTATTATGGATGGACACAGGCGGTCACTGCTATTATCAATAATCTGTATGCCTTTTCCTTTATTCATATATAGAAATTTCAAATTATCTTCAATATTAATCTTAAAATTGTAAAGGTCTAATTAATGCCTATCAAGGTGAAATTTGTTATATAACTAGCTAACTAGTCTAGCTATAAATTCTGTTACTGACTGTTTACATACATTAAAAAAAAAACTTTAATTCGAATTTAAAACATTAGCTTCTACGATGATATTTATTATAATTTACTCACTTCTGGAGCACGAAAATAGGCATATTTACCTAATTTTATTCTTGACTACAATTAAAAATGACCTGTGAAGGTGAAATTGACAAAATTCTATACGACAGGGGTAAAAATGAAAGAGTCAAGTTTGTATGGAAATCTCTGGACTAAGCAGTATAAAAATTTATAACGAAAAATTAAAATCGTGTGCTTAGGCAAAGATGAAGGACGAACAAGTGGGACGCCCTGATAATTAAAGCACACGCGGACCAAGTCGCGGGCAATACGAACTCTGTCGGTGTTGATGATATGACAACGAATGTTATCAAAAAATGTGATAACATTATAATACCAGTCTTAACTTATTCAATAAACTTATATAAACTAGCAGGGCATGTTTCCCACTAGCTTAAATAGGCCATTACCAATACCACTATACAAGAAAGGGGATAAAGGTGACTCACTATCGACCTATTGCACTTTTACTAATTATGTCTAAAATATTTGAGAAAGCTGCGCACAAAGGGCGTTATAGTTATATGACTAAATTTAACATCATAAAACAAGAACAAAATGGTTTTCAAAGGAGAAAATCATCAACACTCGCCGCTTTTCACTTGATTCATAACATTCTGATTAATGTCGATAGTACATACATACAACATAACTTGTCTAGGAGAGGATTCAGTGTTGAATACATCAAGATCTGTATATCTTGTAAATGAATACGGCGTCCCACAGGGTAGCGTTCTGGGGCCACTATTGTTTTTGATTTACATAAATGACCTTCCCGACATTACAAAATTTAAGTGTACCCACCCTATTCGCTGACGATATTTCAATAATTTTGACATCTAATAATGTAACTGATTTTAAAAATGAAATAAATGATACAGTTCAATCAATAATGCGATGACTGCAAGCTAATAATTTAATGGTCAATTTGAGTAAGTAATGTTTTATGTAATTTCAAAGCTATGGTTCTAGAATTAATCAAATAAAACTCAACTATAATGCTACTGATATAAAAAATAACTAATAACGTTACTTTTTTAGGGATAACATTAGATAAATATTATAATTGGAAAGCACATATTGACACCGTCTGTAAAAAAGATTAACAAATGTGTAATGTATTGAATGAGTCAAGAAAGATGTTAATTAAAAAGATGTCTACTCAACATACAGTGTTACTGGCCTATCATGGTTATGCAGGATATGGTTTTTTACTATGGGGAAATTCTACCGTTTCTGGTCGGGCTTTTTTGTCTCAGAAAAAATGTACAAGAGCTATAGTGGGCATTCCTTCATATGAACCTTGTAAAGATTATTTATACAACTTAATATATTGCCGCTACGGTGTATGTATTTTGTTGAAATTTGTATTTTTGTATAAGGTCATCCTGAACTGTCTATAAGAGCAAAAAATTTGTATCCACGTAATACGAGAAATAATAACAGATTGGTTCTAAATTTCAGGCCGAAAACAGATTTCTTTAAAAGAAATTGTTATGCAATGTGTATAAAGAATTTTAATAAATTATCAAATTCTATTCAAGAGTATTTGTAATTTCTATATTGCAATTAAATAAAAAAATTAAATGTGGTTATTAGATAATATGATATACACAACTGGATAAATGACAATAATTACTAAAATATAGGAACTTGACAATAATAATAATGTTTAAAACAATTAATTAACAATAAACATGACATGTAAACAATAATAAATAATATGACATGGGATATTGACTTATAGGTAATTGAATGTAACTGTAACAGTAATAAATAAATAATTTAATTTAATATGACTTTGTAATATTTGCATGCTATTGCTGATGGCTAAATGGGCCGAACTCAAATTGTATTTCAATCTACAGTGTACCTCATTTAAAAGCAAATAAGTTATTATTATTAAACTGGTATAGTGTAATCCCTCTTTAAGAGTGATTACAAACGATTGTATTTTAAATGATAAAGTTATATATTATTTTAAATACTTAAATGGGATAAAAACTCGCCATGAATACGACATTACCAATTTCAAAACTGATGTCGCGTAAATTACGTGGTGTAATATTTAGGAACAGTATATTGATTGGTGTCTGTATAGTGTGTACAGTGTACAGTGTACAGTGTGCGGCGTGTGCACGGCGTGTACGGTGTGCATACTTGCGGCTCATGTGCGAGGCGAGCGCGGTGTAGAGGCGGTGGCGGCGCAGGCGCGCCTGCAGCGCGTGCAGCAGGTGGCGCAGCTGCATGAGCAGCACCAGCGAGGCCATGGACCCAGCATCGGTGTGTGTATAGTGTGTACAGTGTACAGTGTACAGTGTGCGGCGTGTGCACGGCGTGTACGGTGTGCATACTTGCGGCTCATGTGCGAGGCGAGCGCGGTGTAGAGGCGGTGGCGGCGCAGGCGCGCCTGCAGCGCGTGCAGCAGGTGGCGCAGCTGCATGAGCAGCACCAGCGAGGCCATGGACCCAGCATCGGTGTGTGTATAGTGTGTACAGTGTACAGTGTACAGTGTGCGGCGTGTGCACGGCGTGTACGGTGTGCATACTTGCGGCTCATGTGCGAGGCGAGCGCGGTGTAGAGGCGGTGGCGGCGCAGGCGCGCCTGCAGCGCGTGCAGCAGGTGGCGCAGCTGCATGAGCAGCACCAGCGAGGCCATGGACCCAGCATCGGTGTGTGTATAGTGTGTACAGTGTACAGTGTACAGTGTGCGGCGTGTGCACGGCGTGTACGGTGTGCATACTTGCGGCTCATGTGCGAGGCGAGCGCGGTGTAGAGGCGGTGGCGGCGCAGGCGCGCCTGCAGCGCGTGCAGCAGGTGGCGCAGCTGCATGAGCAGCACCAGCGAGGCCATGGACCCAGCATCGGTGTGTGTATAGTGTGTACAGTGTACAGTGTACAGTGTGCGGCGTGTGCACGGCGTGTACGGTGTGCATACTTGCGGCTCATGTGCGAGGCGAGCGCGGTGTAGAGGCGGTGGCGGCGCAGGCGCGCCTGCAGCGCGTGCAGCAGGTGGCGCAGCTGCATGAGCAGCACCAGCGAGGCCATGGACCCAGCATCGGTGTGTGTATAGTGTGTACAGTGTACAGTGTACAGTGTGCGGCGTGTGCACGGCGTGTACGGTGTGCATACTTGCGGCTCATGTGCGAGGCGAGCGCGGTGTAGAGGCGGTGGCGGCGCAGGCGCGCCTGCAGCGCGTGCAGCAGGTGGCGCAGCTGCATGAGCAGCACCAGCGAGGCCATGGACCCAGCATCGGTGTGTGTATAGTGTGTACAGTGTACAGTGTACAGTGTGCGGCGTGTGCACGGCGTGTACGGTGTGCATACTTGCGGCTCATGTGCGAGGCGAGCGCGGTGTAGAGGCGGTGGCGGCGCAGGCGCGCCTGCAGCGCGTGCAGCAGGTGGCGCAGCTGCATGAGCAGCACCAGCGAGGCCATGGACCCAGCATCGGTGTGTGTATAGTGTGTACAGTGTACAGTGTACAGTGTGCGGCGTGTGCACGGCGTGTACGGTGTGCATACTTGCGGCTCATGTGCGAGGCGAGCGCGGTGTAGAGGCGGTGGCGGCGCAGGCGCGCCTGCAGCGCGTGCAGCAGGTGGCGCAGCTGCATGAGCAGCACCAGCGAGGCCATGGACCCAGCATCGGTGTGTGTATAGTGTGTACAGTGTACAGTGTACAGTGTGCGGCGTGTGCACGGCGTGTACGGTGTGCATACTTGCGGCTCATGTGCGAGGCGAGCGCGGTGTAGAGGCGGTGGCGGCGCAGGCGCGCCTGCAGCGCGTGCAGCAGGTGGCGCAGCTGCATGAGCAGCACCAGCGAGGCCATGGACACCAGCATGTTGCTGTACACCACCATGTGCACCACGTGCGCCAGCTCCACGCCCAGCGCCACCGACTGTACACCACGAGACACGTTACGTATCTACCGACAGGGCAGGCACACCTAGCCGAGTGCCACTTTCAACTTGTATATCAGTTTTGTTATTCTTATTTCCGGCATTTTTCCGGATGTCCGAACCGAACCGACGGAGCGAGTTTCTATTGATTTTTTTCTTTAAGGTCAAGTCTCATTCTTATCTATCTATTACGAATACGGTCTGCGAGCGTACCTCCACAAATTCTGCGTAACTAACGTATCTCGATCGCATACAGAGTCTAATCTTGACGTTCCGCGACCGACAAATACCTTAGAGTAATTGTCGAGAACGCGGTACAAACAAAAATGAAATATTAACTCGTTTAAAAAAAGTAAGGTAATTAAATTATGTAAAAAATCGCTTAAAGAACTAAATTCAAAATCTTTATATTTCTATTTGAGCCACTCCCATAATCACTGTGCAACATATAAGGTGATCTAGTTTTCGAAGTCCATGAATTGATATTCATCTTCGTTTTCAGATTTCAATAGCGATTGTCCGTATCGTTTTATCTATGTCGTTTAAATAAAGAACTCAGATAAAATTGCGCAAACATAAATTGACAATTAATTTGCATACACAATTATATGAAGGAACGACTCGCTAACAAACCTAATATACGAGTACATTTACTTAAGACGTGCTTACTTAATATTTTGCTTATCACGTTATTGTCGTTCTTGCGTTTTTACAATAAAAACATTATTATATGCAATACATTATCACAAAGGTTCGCCTTCCGATTAGTATTACTAAAATGCAAGAACGAGACGAGACTTTGGCAGTCTTGCGAGTGTCACAATTCACAATCTATTAGCCTTTTGATATTTATTTAAAAGCTTTAGATCTTAGTACAACGTAACCGTAGGTACATATTGAGCTTGAATTTACATAGCCATAGTAAATACCAATCAAATTAATAAATGCCTGAACATTTAATGAGAAATTCAAAAAATCAACTGACATCGGGTGGAGTTCGAACCTACGACCTAAGCGATCCGTGCCGATATTACGTTTACATGTTTCGAGTGCGTTACGAGAGTCTACAATATCTATCAAATGGCTGGCGACATATTCGAGCACTTAATTTATTTTAAACACACAAATTATTGTAAAAAAGTTAAATTTAAGAAAATATTTGGAATAAATGTACATTAATAATTATAGAAGGTAGAGATGCGCCGAATATTCGTTTCATATTCGGTATTCGACATCTTTATTACTATTTGTATTCGGCCGAATATTTGGTTTTGGAACCAAATATATTCGATTCTTGTAATTAAATTTTATATGTAATCAAAAATATTTATAGGTTATAAACTTTATTCGACATTTTTAGACTTCAAATTGAGATTGTAATTTGTTAATGAATATATTTAAGGCAAATTGACAATAGCACTATAACAGATATATGTATATAGAGAAAGAGCGACACAATAAAAATGTAATAGAGATCAGAGATAAAATAAAAGTAAAATTACAAACTGATCGTGTATATGTGTGGTGTGGTGTGCTGCAGTGTACTCACGTCGAAGCAGAGATGCGTGTAGTAGGCGAGCGGCTCCGCGGCGTCCACGCTGGCGGCCTGCAGCACGTACCGCGCCGCCACGTGCAGCGCGCCCACCACCACCAGCGCGCACTACAACCACACACCATATACATACTCGTACATGTCACTATATCGTACGCCACTAATATTACATTTCTATCAAGAATATACCATGTATTTAACAGTTCATTATAATAAAAATGTGCGTGTTATATATACACACGCACATTTTATTTTTTAATGAACTGCAATTTAAAATGTAATATATTAAAGTATCGAAATTGGGTTCAGTTTCCTGAAATGTTTTTTCGCGGGCGCTAGAAAATTATTTATTCTCAGAGTCGGCAGTAGAAGAAGACAGGTTAAGTAATAATCAGAGAAGACAGGTTAAGAATATATGATCGGTGTTCGGCATCTTTTTCAAGCAATTAAACTTCAAATGATTAATATAGATTTTATTAACTTTAATCGACATTTGTTTTAAAACTTAAATACGCAAAAAAATTTAAACCTCAAATCAACATTTAAAAAAATATTCTGACCACTATATAGGCACTATAATAGAGAAAGTAAAGTATAAATGTAAGAATATGTATGTTATATATTCTAATATTTATAATTTATTAATGGTAAATTGTGGTGCAGAAACACCAAGCTCTCGGCCCACTCCGGCAAGGGTGTTGCATTTTTCTTTATTTAGGTTCCCCTGCTTCAGAAATAATTATACGACACATGTTATATTACCGAGGAGTACTTAGAAACACTCTGGCTAAATAAAAACAATGAAATGGTAAACCGAATAATTCGGCCGAATATCCGGTTCGATAAAGGTTAAACCGAATACTATTCGGTATTCAGTGATACCACTATCTCTAGTAATAATCTCTGAACGAACGTTATAATTGCTCCTTAATGGAGCACAAATTGAATTCAGTATTTTTTTATGAAACGGAAATTAACCGGTTGCATCATGATCGGTTACTATGAAGATAGTAAAACTAATAACACACAGGTGCACAAACATCCATTAAATTCATCATTAGTTTAATGCATCTTTACCGATATACATTTTCAAATTTAGAACAGTCATTAGAGCTGAAAGTTCTCATAAACTTGTAATGGATGTTTGTGCAACTGACCAATAATATATTATTAGAGATCGAATTAAGTACCTCATATAAAATAAAAATCCATAATATTACATAAGAAAGTGACATTATGCAACCAAACACGATCAACCACATAAATATAAGAGAATATTACACGATCATCTCCGGCAGGCGGCGCCGGCGCCGCGTCACCAGATTATATGAATACTTTCGCCGCACTTTCACTATACACATTCGCATACATTTATTGTATGATTCATCCGAACATTTTTGCAGGAGCTATGTTTAGGTATACGTTTTTAATAATGTTTTATTAGTCCCGCCGTAGATTTATGAACCGATGGCGTAGTTTCGACTTTCACAAGTGCTTGTAACAGCCTAGACTGAATATATAATTTTGATTTTATAATGCTTATTAACTTTATTAGTTTTTTTTTGTATATAAATTCGACTTATATATTTTAGACACAGTAGTATTATTTGCTGGGGTTTATTTTTATCTTAAAAGCTAGCTTTCCGCCAGCGGCTTCGTCCGCGTCATCCCTACGGAACTGTTTGTTTGGGTATCGATTGCTATTATCATAGCATAGTTTTTCGTACATATATTTTTGGCATCTTGAACCGTTTTCGCAGCGCACGCAACGGATGCCCACAAGGATGAATAATGTTCCCCGTTTTTTTCCAGATTTTCCATTATTTCTTCGCTCCTAATAGTTGCAGCGTGATGTTATATAGCCTAAAGCCTTCCTCAATAAATGGTCTATTCAACACAAAAAGAATTTTTCAATTCGAACCAGTAGTTTCTGAGATTAGTGCGTTCAAACAAACAAACACACTCTTCAGCTTTATGATATTAGTATAGATTACTGAATCGAATTTGGTGAAACTTGAGTAGTTTCCTTTAATCAAATAAAAAAGAATCATAACGATCTCGTATCTAAATTGTGAGAAATAAATAAATAGGATATAAATAAATAAATAAAACTGTATGAAGTTCAATTAGTTATATGATGCAACCGCGGATTGCGTGTACCTACATACATACCAATATTGCACAAATTGGGATTCGAATTAAAAGGCTAACGTTACGTTCGATATTGGTAACGGGAATTTGACATTGTGCGTTAATTTTTATTGTGTGTGTACAACAGTTGGCACAACTGACACAACAAATATTATCATTTTGCTGTGATAATCAGTGAACATAATTTCTTTAAAAGCAGTTATTTTGCAACAGGTTTACTGTTACGTCAATGCGGTTTTTTCAAAACAAATGTGTAGATATAACATTATTAATATTTTTCAAAGTATTTTTATATGATTACAAAATATAACCTTGGTGATTTAAAATATTAACATTCATCTATGAACGCTAATGAAAGCTCAATAATGTGCACTCAATACGACGTCAGGTTATACTGACGTATAAACAGTTTTAGGCGTTAATGCGCGCTTGTGATACCTCAGCAGCCATGAATGCGAAGGTGTCCCGAGTGGCCGGCAGTCCGGCGAGCACCGCGCCCGCCAGCAGGCAGCAGCAGGCGACCTGGATGAAGCACAGCAGCCCGAGCAGGCGCGCGTGCGCCCACCACCAGGTGTTGGGGGACGAGGACAGCTGTTACAAACAAACATCTACATCTACTTCGCCGTACATAAATACACAAATATGTATGTACATCAAATAATTGATGTACATACATACATATTTGTGTATTCAGGATAATTATCTTTTTGAAGCCAGACTTAGAGCTGCATTTAGCCAGACGATACGTTGCTAAATCTACGATTAATCTCTACTCTACGAGGGAATACTAAAGTACGTATCTTCCCACACCTTCGGCACCGCCGGTGGGGGTTGATGTTTTATTGCATTTGTTAACTGCCTTACCTAATAAGAATTATTGTTCGATTGTTTTAGTTTAAATAATGCATTTTCTCGTATTGTTAGGGGCAATGACATTTTCAACATTTTCAGCTTACCCGATTTCGATAAAATTTTAAACGTTTAACCGCATTATCTCTCATACATCCAGCAATTTATTTCTTCAACCTTCCTCTCCATACATCCGTACACATACATGTACATTACAGTCACATTCTTTCAATCATTTTGCCATGTGAGTGAGTGCCCTTATCAAAGGAATGGTAAAAGACACCGAGGCCGAGGGATCGTCGGTTCGGGTCCGGCCTGGTACCTAAGACGGTTCAATCAAGTATTCTTAATATAAATATGAAAGTAGCATTGGTAATGTAAGATTTACTCCTTCTCATGTCATTACTCGTGCAGTGAGTGTGTCCTTCACCAAGGCTGTATTGTTTCTTGTACCTATATTTGCGTGTTATTTCCATTCGTACGACGACGGAAGCATTGTCCTGTCCTCGATCTTTGCCTGGTGTAACTTTTCCATTGTTTTTATCGACAACCTCTACTATGTAGATTCAGTTTTTATATTCTTGAATATATCATTTCCATTTTTTCACTTCAGCTCGAAATTGTGGATTATCAATTACAGGTTTTTTTAAGGTATTCTTCTTTATACATTTTTGTACGTTAATTCATGGATATTATGTTCGTGTCTGTTATTTTCAATAATCACTCGAGAAGGCAGTGAACACACAAGGCACAATAGTACGAAAGGGTGAAACGAATGCTCAAAATTAAATTTTATAGAAACAATTATCTATAAAGGATAGATAAATTGTTGGATACTGACATACTCAAACCTATCCTTGCAGAGTTGCGCGAGCAGGTGCAGAAAGCCGAGCAGCGTGAACCACGTGCACCAGAGGAGCACTTCGTCCATGTACTGCACGTTGAGCACGCCGAACACGAATATAAACTTGTAGAAGACGAAGTTCCAGAGTTTGTCTTTAACCCGCTGCGCCTCCGCCACGCGCAACCGCCCGAAGACCAGGCGCTGCACCACAAACCCAAACAGTGCGAGCCCACAGTACGCTATGTTGATAACGGTCTGTAAAAAAATAACATTTGTGTAATATATATGAAATACCTAAAGTCCCTACTTCAGCTCCAGTGAACTTCAACGCTCATGAATAAGAGCAGGAAGAACTAATTAATATTTTTGGGAAGAACTAATTAATATTTGTAAAATTATCGTTTGGTCAAGTGTTTAATTAAATTACGACGGCGTTTATTTTTATGCTTGAGCATTGCCCGAAATATGTAAAATATGTTCCAGTTTTAAGTTTAAACCTGTCTGCGGGAGCGAGCATATTGTTAATGAGTGTGGTCAATGCCTTGGCTGTGCACCCGCCTGTGCACAGCTTACTCGGTATAGCATTGCATGCAGCCAGCTTAGCTATTAACTCTATTAGCTACATCAAAGGTCTTTAAATTCATCAACAAATTTTATGATGTATTTGCGTATCATTTTAGAAATTAAATGAGAATGTATTCTGCATATATGTATTAAAATCTCTAGATATTGTTCTACTCCACATACAATAATCAAAACCGGCTTCTTTCCGGTAGTAAACTTTTACTTTGGAAAATAGTTGTTTATCTTCATATCAGATTTTTTTGTACCTACAGCATGGGCTGCTGTCAACGACAGGCGAGTGATTAATTAATTTCCAAATACAATGTTCGCGTTTTTATAATCACGTGTTATTTCAATGCGGGCCGATACTATAATTGACCGCAAAACCATTCCGCAATCTGCATTGAATTACATTATCATCTTGTTATATAGCTCTTAAATGCATAGCCGTCACGCACGATGTTAGAATAATTAAATATTAGATAACACAAAGAAGATCCAAGCAAAGTTTCGTTTCGACCTTAAAAGTATTTAAAATACAATTACATATAGAAACAACTAAGACACCTAGACCAGAGATAACACACGATAGATAAGATAGTTCTCTAATAGACTTGATCAAGAATATAATTAGTAACCAGGCACGTTATCACCTGGTTAACGATGGTTGTCGTCAAGTTATTCTTTGGATTGTTGACATCGGAAAAAGTCACTACTACTGGAAGCTCACTTAACGCGAACTCGAGGCAGGCCTCTAGTAATGAAAAAATGTCTTTAACTTTATTTGTACAGAATAAACACTGGATAAATAACGGTTTTACAGTACGGAAAAACCAGAAATGGCGTGTGCGAATGTGAAATCGACAGACGAAAGGCTAACATTATACTTTTGTAGCCTTTGAGTTGCAGACATTATATTTAGAATAAGCAACTTTTTCTTTATTAACCGACCAAATTAACTTGGATCTCAATCTTACACTTCTGTCGTGTAAGATTCTCCAAAATGTCGCTTGAATATGGATTTAAAACCTAAGGTTGAAAGGCCAATGGTAGCCTTTCAACGGTAGAAACAATGTTTTCCTTTACATGCATGATATGAGATTAGAGTGTGTGCCTATTTAACTAATGTAAACTTTTATTCTAGCATTTTTGGTATTAACGGCGTGATCATGATGCCGCTATATCACTGAATCGGATCATCACAATTAGAATGACACAAACTTTCTTTTCTCGTTGACAACTTTCAAAACTTTACCGATGGATCCGCTGCTGCCCTGGTACATATCTACCATATTTCCAAATATCCTCAAAAATGTAAAGATCAGATCGAGACTAGATTCTCGTCGCGTCTCCCGTGGAATCACTGATCCATCTGGACCGCATTGGGAATTATAGATCTAAACATTATAGTTTGTAACGTGAACCGTGACGTCTGTGATTCACGATTTATAATTGAATCCGATGCCTAAGCTGCTTCGTTAAGAAAGATATAATTATACTTTTTACCACTATGCATAATTGCAATGACGAAAGTATCTAAACATAGAGAAATAACAGTAGGTTTGTTTCAAAACTTTATTATTAAAAAACGCTTGTGTTAGAATTCACGAAGATACGAAGTTGCATATACACATATTATTTGGTGGCGCTTGCTTATCTTTAAATAGTTGTTTGCGTCGTTATAGTTGGTACTAGTGGTGTAGATAAAGCGTGCGATGTGTGACGTCGCACGTGGACAGCATCGTACGAGACCGCCACTGGCACCGCACCGGCACATATAAACAAATCTATAGCACACATGTACCTATATATTTATAATGATATTTATAAATATTTACGAAGTGAAACAGTTCGCACGCCGGTTTCAAGGTGTCGCCATCTCCGAGATCCCGGGTTCGATTCCCGGTCGGGTCAATGTAGAAAATGAACTTTTCTATATTGACTCGGATCTGGGTGTTGTGTGATCTTCGTTGTCTCAGATACTCCATAATACGGGGGCTGTAGCTACTCATCTTGGAATCTGAGCAATGTATGTGATGTTATTAAATATTTATTTATTTATTTATTATAATTTACAGATTGTGATTAATCTATTGTTTTTTGGTCACTCAAATCACCGTTCGTTGAAAAAGCGATTGAGACTTTAAAAGTTATATCATCCCAAAAATCGCTTTAGCAATATCTATAACTTTTAAAGGGTAGTGATAGATTTAAATAAAATAGACAATTAGCCCACTTAGATTAGTCAACTCTAAGTTTCAATTATCTAAAATATAAACCGATAATATTCTAATATAAGATGCTAGAGAATTTTTCTTCTTTATTATATAAGTATAGATTTAATTAAATACATCTAATAAAATATTTGCAACAAACACTTTTTAATTTGCATAACCTACACGTATAACTTACGCTCTAGTTTTACATGTAGTTATTTTAGTTCAGAATGTATTATAGGGCTAATAATTAGATTCGTTCAATATCCGTATTCGTATAATCATAAATTAACAACGCTTACATTTTAATATACGTCAACATATGGAACCAATTCTCTTACTTCAAAACTACCTACCTATCGAGCCCCAATCTCACATATGTGACATCTGCGAAATGTATGTTATATTGTAATAATACCTACAATAGTGTTTCTATACACTCGTTGGATCAGAGCATCCGTTGAACAGAACGTATCTGATTATCAGATCAATTATTTGTTTCACAGTCTTAGGGAGATGTCTGGACAATTAGCTAGATGTCGCGGCGGCGGCGTAACATTCCATTGTTACTTAAAGCGACTGTTACTAGTTTAGATCGCTTGTTTATTGATAAATGACGTGTTACAACAACACGTCGACACGTTCCATGACGTCATAGGCGAACGAACGGAACAGGGCGACGACGATTTTTTTTTCAATTTCATCATTAAGTCGAATTAAGAATGAATCACTGTCATTTTTTAACGGTTTCGTTGCAACTTAATGATGCTGTAATCATTAATTTGGAATACAAATAGGATACTTCATTAGCGCCTCACGGGCAAACACGGAAGAAATCGCGGCGAGAAGTTAGATTAATGAATAAATAGAATGACGCATTAATTAATTTATTAACTGTTTAACGACAAGCAACATAAAACAGAAGACTATGTAACGCCCATTAAGGCTTAATGACGACTAAGCTCTAAAGAATGTTCTAAATTTGAAATTTTTATCAGTGATGTCGCTTTAGTATAAATTGATGAAAATTTCTACCCGCGGGGGGGCCACAGAAGCAGTAAGAAGCAATAAGTTGCAATAATACAAATCTACACGTGGAATATTTAATAAAACTGGTAATACTTGCCACACGAAGTACTCGCACTAGATAATACATTATTGATCACAAATAAATTGAGTGCCCTGCGATAGAATTTGATAGCCTTCAATTTTAACAGCAGTACAATATGCAATAGATTGGCAGGCGAATTATTGAACCACCCATCGTCATTACGTCTGTCTCCTCTTTAAAGACTAAAATAAATGACCGGTTAATAATACAAACATTCTTATTATCAACAAGGACGTCCCGAATGGGTCAATAAACAAACATATACAATGAATATTTTGATTTACAATAATTAAAAATAAATTATGAAAAACAAGATCATTGAACCTTTTCCTTTTAATAAATACTAACAAATTTTACACACTTAGACTGTATGTATATAAAAGGAGCTTACGTCTCAATACATATACGAGATCTTAATGTACGTTCTTATTAAGATTAGTTTGTTTTCTATAAAAAGTGATGTACACAATTTTAATACAAGAAAAAAAAATTAAAGGTGCCTGTCACTAGACTGCAAAAAGTAACTCATTCAGGGGTCTTTGTGTGCGCTTCTGCAATAAAGTCCCAAGTAAAATACAACAATTAGATCATCGTGCAGTCTAAATCTACTATTAAAAAGTTAATTATAAGGTATCCGATTATATAACAAATAAAAAAGACTGACTTTGTCATTGCTCCGAAACAAAACTACCTATGTATTACGATCTATCCATAGATGCGAATATTCCACACCACAGGTGAACAACTGTACTGGAAACAAGTTGAGGATCCAACGTTTGAGTAGATTAAGAAAATAATATAAATTAAAAACATAGATATTTAGCATTAGTTTATAATATCGCATGTAGAAATATTGTAATATATCGGTGTTAATATGGTATAATGTATATGGCAACTGCCTAGGGCGCTCTTATTTGGGCGGCGGCATGGCATGGCAAACAGATTATATTTATTTATTTGCACCTTATCTTAAAAACAGTACCCTAAAATAATTACCTTCCATTCATATTTGTCCATATTATTGATATTCAAAAGAACAAATGTTTCAGACATTATGACATAGATTAGTACCTAAGAAGTTTATTTTGTCATTGGCAAAACTACACCCTTTAATCGGTGTACCTAAATTAGTCTTTCATTTTGTTGCGATTCTTTTTTATGGGCGATGTTCCAGTGTTTGGCCGAAGGGGCCATGTTTCATTGATCCGACGTTGAAGATACCTAGTCGATAATGATTTAGGAGATTCCTAGAAACCATTGAATAAGTAAATATATGGCGTATTAGCATTAGAATTTGATACGTTTATTTAGTAAATGTTCATGCGTGATGCATGACGATGGTACACATATGCCGCGTGGGAGTAGGGTCGCCAGATGGTCGGGATTCGTCTGGATTGTCCAGACATTTCGTATGATGTCCAGAGTCCCGTAAAAAACAAATATGTCCCGACAAAATTGTTAGATTCTGTAAAATCGAATTTCAAGTATAAAAAAATATTATAAGTAGGTATATAAGCTGTTTAAATGTTATACTATTATTATGTGATCTTATAAAATGACCAACAAGTAGATACTTGTTATTATTTTTAAATTTTATTAATAGAAAGTGGATTTCTTATTAGCATTTCTTTTTGTCCCGATTGTGATCTCAAAATCCCGACTTTTTCAAATTTTGTCCAGATATTTTAATCTCGTTATCTGGTAACCCTACGTGGGAGTCTCGTGCGTCTCGTGCGCGTAACACATTGTTGCGTTTATATGTTTACCGATTTTTAGAGAAGTTCATTGGCTTCGAGCAGACAATAACACAGCATATACTATAACAAAACATAATGATGCCCGATTTCGTTTATGGTGGTTCACTTCGTAAGCTACGTATGACTTTGTATGTAAATTTAGAAAAAAAAAATTGGTGTATAATTATTAAACACAGGTGTGGCGAATGCTAATGATTTGGCCTGTCTATCTGCCTCCATGGTTGCCGCACCATAAGGCTTGTAGATTTAAACGATTAAAATATATCGATAACATAGTAATATTCTTCACCTTGTACTGTTTAGTTTTTATATTGTCTAGTCTATTCTATATTGTAGCAAATGACTCATTTCAACAAGCTATTTACGCTAAATAAATACCTACTGCATTATATACACCGATTGGCAAGTGTTATTGAAATAACCTTGTTAATTTACATTCATGTGTGAAGTTTACTCATAAATAACGGTTTTGGCAAAGACTTGGTTATTAAATAACCAAATAAAACTGTAGATTTTCATTTTTTATCAGTAGGTGATTTGAATGTCTGTTGAACAGATCTCACCAAAGGGTAAGTAAAAAGTAGGCAAAGGCATGCATAAGTCGCAGCCAACTGGTTTAAAAGAGCCGTACCTACAATTGAACCGCTTATAAAGTTCATAAACTAGCTGCATAAACAATAAATAAACTCGTTGTAAAATTTGTAAAATTATAAAAATATCTAAATAATTTTGTTAATGTCTCAAGTTACGCGATGAAATCAAGCACGGGGTTTTATCCAACAACTTACTTGTACATAATGAGTTCAAAAATATTAACCATGATTGTATAATAGTAGAAAACCTAAACCAATGCTTAATGATGCGTGTGCAAGTTTGGTGCCTACTGCGCTCTGCCGGTCGCCGACGCGGCACATTCTCTTCGCTCGCTCAGCTCGTGTTTTCAAGGGTTTGGTGCATATCAACAGAAATATTCGTTAGTGCGATCAAAGCATTAACTCATTATCATTTGAATACCTACGCAAGGTCCATGGAGTATTTGTTTGATGAATTTTACGAGAGTTAAGCACCAACCCTTGGTTTCAATACTAATACATTTTTCACATTTAAATCTCTATAATTTCCCAAGTGTCTCCATTTACCATGGGAAATGCATTATCAAAAAGAATTAACTTGGTGTGTATTATTTATTTAATTCTTCATGAACAATAGGTACATTGGCGGACTTAGACATTCTATTCCAGTCAACCTTAGAGTGCTGTGGAGAAGTCAAAGGTATTGTATGTTGATGTTTACTTTGACTGATCTAACTGAGGACACAATCATAATAATAAAAAATGTAAATCTTAAAACAAACAAGCTCAGTATTTCTTCCAGTATTGAATATACTTTTTGTTTACCCAAACCAATTTTAAATTTTTTAATAAACTGTTAACTTGGGATCAGGACCATGTATGTAATATGTGTACTATATAAAGTATTTATGCCATTTAAAGTGCAAAATTATGCCATTTAAAGATTTTGCTTTCAATGTTTACTCATTACTCTGCTGATTCACTATCACTAGCTGATTTTCAATTAATCTATGATGCAAATAAAAAAGAATTAAGCCATTGAGATCAAAATGCCCAAAATACAAAAATATACCAAAGTATCTATTTTAGTAGGTACACTAACTTTTGCCTGCGATTTCGCCTGAGTGTTCTAGTTTTAAGTCCAGACATAAAAACTTTCATTCCCTAATTTACCCTCTTAGGGGTAGAATTTTGCAGAATCCCGTCTTAGTGAGCATCTACATCCTAAAAAGAATCTGCAGGCAAAAGTTGAAACTCCTAGCACTTATATTAATGAAGTTTAATACAAACTTTTATCCCCTAATTTAGCCCCTTTAGGGTGGAATTTTCAAAAATCCTCTTCATTGCAAATTTCAACTTTCTATACTCAGTAGTTTCGGCTGTACATTGTCTGTCAGTCAGTCACTTGCTCAGTAAGAATTTTATATATGTAGATTGAAACAGTATTATGCACTAGATTGAAAAATTCTTAGGGATCCTATAAATATAGGTTTTCTTTTTTAAATGACACCAAATTTTGTTTTTGTAATATATGTTGATTAAGTTGATAAAATTAATGTTTTATCTAAATTCAACAGAAGAGTATATTTTGGTAATAGAATTTTTAGTTTTAGGTAGTGTTTCTGCAAAATTTTAGAAAATATACAATAATTCACTAACTCCCTAAACTGGATTTTATAGGAATCTTGTTTTTCCTCAAAATACTAATTTTTATAGCTCATTATGCATTTAGTTACTGGTGAATGTTATATATATTGTTCTGATATATTTTATTTTGTTATGAAGTTCCATAATATAAAAGATTTTTGGTGGGCTATGATCTATGGTAGCATTCAAATTAGTATTAATTAAATATCTGTCAATAATCTATAAATATCAATTTAATGGTAACAATTTATTTGTCCATAAAATTCTTCTTTTGCTTTTTTTACTATCATGCTTCTCTAATCAAGGTATGTAACAAGGGAGACAGATTGTTTATCATAATTAAATTTATACATGATGACTGTTTGTTTGTTTGTAAATAATTTAGGTTCAGATTTGTTTATTTTAAAATGCCAGATCATTTTGGCTTTGCAACTAATGAATAAGAATGGCAATACCAAAAATATTATTGTATATTTATCTTTATCACTGATTTATATTATAAACCAAACTTTGAATTTCAAAACAACATTGTACCACAAATGTTTATCAACAATATTAAGTTCCGAAACTTTAAAATGGGTTATTTATTACAAATAAATATTCAGTAATGTTGTTATTGAGTCATTAATTGTTTACAAGCTCATTTGGCACTTAGCCCAAAGTAGATGTTAATTTTGTTTAAAAATATATTTTACAGTAAAAATAAAATTTTATTTGTGCACGATTAATTAAATCTATGAACTATTATCTTAATGAAGAGATTGATTTGGATATTCTAATAAAGGTATACACTACTCACCCACATACATAATGGTTCCTGCATCATGAACGTCATAACTTCAACAAACTGTTCAGTGAGGTTCCGGGTGCCGTTGGTGGACATGTTTAGGGAAGACGTTCTCACTTCTTGCATCACTTTTACCACATCAGCATCACCCTCTCCTGCCATCACTTTCTGCCGCTGCAGAGACGTGTGCGCTCTCCAATTAGGATCACTCGTCACACTAACTGCATGGAACACTGCCACAGAGAGCAACAAAACACTTCCCGCAGTGTAAACCTTGAGGTTCGGCAAGGGCAGCCTGTCTACTAGTGCCACAGGCATATTGTATACATCCACTAATATACCAACGCGTTAAATTCTCGTTAGCCTAAACCACACAATAATTTCGAATTTATTATACACTTTACATACTAAAACAGATTCCCGTAATCACATAACGACGAATAAACTATATAAAAGTACTTTACAAGATAAAAAACAATACCACAACGAATCGCCAAGGGAACAGTAGTGATGGGATGTCAATAACAAAACGAACAGCTCTTTATATGGTAGCTGCTAATCAACGTCAACTGTTATCTAGGTAGATGCTTTTCCTATCCTAAGTCTCTTATGCCCGTTTTAGGAGTCGCCCAAATCTGACACCTAAATATTTAGGCATTATCTAAGGTGAAAATGCGTTTCACCAATGACAAGGAGCCACCTAATGACTTTATGCAACGCTTAAAGGAAGTTAAAATAAGTATTTATTCAAATTAACTTGTTTCAAGTACTTTTGATTCGTCCAAGATTAATTTCCTATTACTCGTTCAAGACATATTTTGGATGATAGGAAGAACGAGAAATAAACTTACCAGTCACTAACGACGTTCATAAAAAGCATGTTTTACATTACAACGTTAACACAATAAAAATACATCTTGGTATTTATCAGTCCATTATAAAATAAGGCTTTAATGCCAGGTTTAAGTGAGAGTCTTTGTCTTGAGAACCTGGGACAACCTAGAACCCTGTAATTACAATGAGATAAGTGAGTGTCTTGAGAACCTAGAACAACCTAGAACTCTGTACTTACAATGAATTCCAAAAATCTGTCCAGGTCATCTTTTTATTACAAATTTATTGATTTGGGAAATAGTGGCGATAAGTGGCTAAACTCACAGTTGCACAAACGTCCATTAGGGTTGAATGAAGCCTTTAAGCTCTAATGAAAGTCAAATTTGTGTGAACAATGTCGCTTTAAGCTAATGTCAATTTCAACGTACGCCTATGAAATTGTGGTTTGGTATGAGTGTGTGTTCGCTGTGATTTTTACCTTATGAAAATTATTGCTATTTACTGATAGAATAGAACTCTTGGCAATTATTGTTTGTGAAACAACGTACAACCGAAAATATAATTTGTAAAATAGATTGAAATTTAAAAAAAAAACAATTTTATGTCTCCGCTACATGCTTCATCTTTAACGCTTGCAGTTTAACTCGTGCAGTTAGACTGTCCAAAAGTTTTGAGAGTATTCACTCTCTGTCAGTAAATTTTATTTTCCATAAAGCCGGTGAAGATTTGTACGGTTCCATGAGTTGAGTTAAATATTTTAAAAAACTTTATATATTATCTGAAAAATACCGCTGGACTGAAATGTGGTCTGAATGACCGGCTATACGTAGTAGGCAAAATCCTACAAATCAAATTTGTGTGAAGTCCTGTTAAAAACTGAACTACTGTTTTGCTATTGCATACATGCGATACTTAAATACACATGCTTTCTAGTTTATACTAGGAGTGCTCTATAACAGGTAAAATATGAAACCTGATATTTATTACATTAGCATGTTACCTGTTATAACGAAGCATTATTTATGATTTTAAACTAACTTGTTCTTGTAAAGTTATTCCTAAACGGATGAATTGATTTATACTGAGGGCAACTGACAGTGACAGTAACTTATCAACCAAAGCTGTCAAACAAAATTGAGTATTTTGGAATAAATTATTTCTCACCTTGTGTTAGTGATATGAAATAAAATTCAATAGCTAAAATGTCTGAAAGGGATTACGCACCTCTAAGCAATGCCTGTGTCCGTGGTTTATGTGACAAAATATATGACAAAAGAAAATTCGCTGGTGTTGAAATCGAAAAGTAATGTTTTGTTTTTGTAGTTCTCGTTTTAATTTAATATTTAATTATATCGACTAGCCTCCAGTATTCAGAAATGTAAACATTTAACTAAGCTATATTATTTTACAGAATGGTGAAAGATTTCAGTGATGCAAATAATACTAGCCAAATTAAACGACTCATACGCGTTTTAGGACAGGATCTAATGTCTTCTACTAACCCCAATGTTAAGAATGGTGCTTTAATGGGGCTGTCATCTGTGGCAGTAGGACTGGGCAAGGTATGGAATCTATTTTTTAATATCAACCGCAAATAACAATCTACCAATTTTGTATTTTGAAATGGATATATATTACCCTTCTATTTGTTGCTGTATTATTATATAAAAATGTACAGTCACTAATACTTTCCGTTTCAATATTAAACAAGGATTAATTATCTTACCATAATAAGTCAACACATCTCAACTTGATAATTTCTCTTCTGTATCTATATCTTGATGCTGTAGCCCTAGTGGTGTAGGCAGAGCATAATAAACTCTAAAAAGTATGGTCCTATCATACATCTTTCACCTCCTCCAGATTTATTATTGTTTTCATAGATACTCACCAGTTTTTATGGCTTCATAGATCACATTATATTTAATTTCCTGCTGTTAATAAAAGTAGTACTTAATATAGTTTTTAATAATTATTGATGCATAAATGTTTTTTATTTTGTTTATTCAGTGATCAGTATTTTGCATACAAACATTTTTACTATTACAATATGATTAAGAAATATGATGACTATGATACATTTTAAAATATTCTAAAACATTATCTAAACAGTCATTTTTATAATTAATTTTAGTTTTTACATGAACAAAAATACTAATGCTAACTTGATTATCAAACAAGTTTTACAGCCAGGCAATTTGACATTGACATAACTTAAGAATCTTCAATGTTACTACTTGAAGAACATTGTGGTCTATCAATTGAATCTGGTGTTTCATCTCCAAATGTAGATATTAGAAATCCTTTTGATAAAGTTTTGGAGGGCACTTGTTAGTCTTTGGTTTTTCAAAGTCAATTTACTGGTTTATTCTTATTAACAAGATCTTAAACACATTACTCGAATCACACAGAACTAAGGATTATTTTATTAAAAAGATTAAAGTTTGATTTAGGATCTATATTTATTTTATTTATAAAGTGCTCTTGTATAAATGTTTTGTTTTAACATTTACTACTTTCTTCTATGCTTAGTATTTTTGATTACCTACTGTATTTATGGTCAGGAAGAGATTGGTATGACGTAATAAGCTCACCTTTGTCTATTCTGTTTTCTTGCTTCTATGTGACATATTACATATGAAACTTGCAATTAAAAATATTATCATTATAAGTGTCAGAAGATTCATTTTCACACAATACCAAGTAGTGATGTTCCCAATATTCGTATCTGTATCCGCAGATATCCAACGAAAAATTAAAATCCGTATCCGTTACTTTTTCGTAGATCATTTTAACTTCGATTTAACTTATTCATTTTCAATTGATAGGATGAAATGCTATATATAGGTGATTAAGTAGTTTTAAAAACTATCAAATTCAAGTATTTTTTATTTCTTAAAATTAAATATTTGGCACCTTTATATTGCAAACATTTATTGTATTAAGTTACTATACCAAAAGTACATAACTCAAAGGTACTAATCAACTATCTTTATAATAAGAACAATATTATAGAAAGTTATATCACTTTTATAAATATAAAAAAATGAGAAAACCAAAACTTAAATCTTTTTTATAATTATAATGATATCAATATAATAGAAAGTTATAAGATCACTTTTACTAAGATGAGAAAACCAAAAATAAATTAATACTGGGTACCTAGTAGGTACTACCTAAGTATAAAGTGTAAACATAAGATTACACAAGCAAACACAGTGAAAATTAGAGGAACTTAAAAAAAAAAATTAATTATAAAGATCCGTATCTGTATCCGCGGATATACATTATTAACGATCCGGCACATCACTAATACCAACAGACATGGTGTATAGGTGATCTTGTAACATAGCCATTAAAACAAACTTGTAATTTATTTTGTTTACTAGGGCTGCGTGAACTACTTGTCAGAGCTGATCCATCCGATCCTGGCATGCTTCAGCGAGAGCGAGTCTCGTGTTCGATATCAAGCTGCGGAGGCTTTATTTAACGTGTTGAAAATAGCTCGCGGGGAGGCGCTCGCGCACTTCCCGCCTGTGTTTGAGGCGTTGGCGCGGCTCGCTGCAGATCCCGAGCCACAGGTGAAGCAAGGGGCGGAACTTCTGGACCGTTTGCTGAAGGTGAGACTCTTGTCGTCGCAATTTATGCACACCTACCCTTTTTTATTGTTGTGTATTAGGAATAGTGCTTTTATCCCCATCTTAAAATGCTTCCATTACAAACTAATATTGATATCTTTATTAATAGGTGATGGTTATTGATAGTCAAAGTTTTGTTTTAAATTTACTAGTTTTTATGTAAAGTTTAGTTTCGCTTATGTTCCACATTGATACGGTCTCATTGTTCTTTTGTTAAATTTGATTTTAATTATTAGGTTTTTTGTTAGACGCACCTAGGTCGGGAACCACTGTTCTGAGCTCACCAGTGGTGCAGCATGTCCTAGACAGGCGCTGTTGACTCCGTATCATAATTCCTTCCTTTGCTCAGTATTTCGGTAAAACAAACATACTCGTACCTACTTAGTTGCCTAGTATTTGTGTGAGATTATCATTAAACAAATGTTTACTTACACACCTCATTATTATTGTTGCGGCGGCGGTTACGCCCCTTTAGTGAACACTCATGGAGAGAAATAAATTATAATTTGTAGCAAGTTACATCTGAATGTGATTAAAATAATAGTGAATTAATTATGTCGCAATATAGGTATTATTGTTCCCATCTAACATATTCACCATAGTCCCAGGAGGATTGAGTTAGTAGAATTTGCTTGTTTGCATTATTGATAAGTTTTATATATAATAAAATAATGACAAGCGTTTATAATATATGTTAGTTTTACTTCAGTTTATTTTATATAATTTTCTCTATTAACCCTTTAGTCAGTTTAAAAAAATAATGCAATGTCGTGTCTTTAAATGCATGTTCTTATATTTGATATTTGATCAATCATGCTTTCACAATGCTATATTGATAAATACTTTTAATGAATATGCTTAAAAAGCCACTAGCCCTAGGAACCCAGTATGTGTCATCTTCTCGGCGAACAGTTACATTAGAAGCCTATATTATGTGAGTGTTTAAAGATTACTAATCCGCCATACTGGATTTAGAATGAAGAAATTTCATTATTTTTTAATATTATTCATAGCAAACTAGAGCGTGTAATATCGGCAGGTTTTCAATTCCGATACTGATTTCTGAAAGTGAATCATTGAAAGCGTCAATATTCTATATCGATTGCACATATCCGTGAGAGGGTCGAGTTAGTCATCATCATCAATCATCAGTCTTTAATTTGGTACAAATGTTTTGTGTGCGTTTTCAATAACATTGTTCATTTATAAATCATTATATATTTATTACTTAATTATTATTATGAAATTACCTAGTTCTTAATCAACACTTTTAAAATATCATGTAATTATTTATTTTATTATATTTATACTCACGAATCAGTATTAAAATGCTAAAGAGTGAGCGAGACAGACTATACTACGCGTGAGACATGCTACGTGATTTCGTTCCGAGATTCCGATATTAGGAGATTCATGTCCTGCAGGCAAATTCTGCTAATATTTAATTAAGTGTGTAATTTATTAATTAGGTGATTAAGCAGGTGTGGATTAATAAAATGAATAACGTCGCATCTTTGACCAGGATATAGTGACAGAGAGTTCATCGTTCGACTTGGCGGCGTTCGTGCCGATGCTGCGCGAGCGCATCTACACGAGAAACGCGTTCGCGCGGCAGTTCGTGGTGTCGTGGGTGTCCGTGCTGGACGCGGTGCCGGACATCGAGCTGGTGGGCTACCTGCCCGAGCTGCTCGACGGACTGTTCAAGATGTTAGACGACCCCAACCCCGAGATACGTCGCATGTGAGCCATTTTAGATAGGGATGCATCGATACACTTTTCGTTCGATACGACAACGACCCTGCTATTTATAAAGAAGGACGCCGATGCGGTACCGATACGTATGCGAGCGAGTTTTTTTTTGATCACGCGAATTCGCTTTCAGTATATTGCGTCGCCCCAGGGGAGGATACATTTTTAACTCTATTATATTATTATGGTTTTGGCGAGGGGCCGCAGTCATTTGGAGGTCCCCAGCATCGGAGGCCCGGGGCGCCCCCCCTCTAGGTCGCTTCCGGGCCGCCGACTTATAATATTTACTTTTTCTGTTAAACATACTGCACCCAGGCGGACTCGCGGGTCGCGGGCCCCCGGACGAATGTATAAAATCGAGAACCAAACACGATCGTGGGACGTGTCCGCAGGTGTGACGTGCAACTCAACGAGTTTCTGAGGAGCATAAAGAAGGATCCGTCAAAGGTGGACTTCCAGGCGATGATCAACGTTCTCATCACGCACGCCCAGTCGCCGGAGGAGCTCCTACAGGTTCGAGTTCGAACGCCTCTCCCGGAGGCCGCGGTGACCGACTGCCGACGTTCAATAGCTATCATCTACGATTTATCGATACGTTTTCTTCTTTAGCTGCTAAAAGACCTCCCAGTTTTCAATAGCCCTCTGTGTGCCCGCGACCCCCTTAAGCCTGACCGGTTCCCGTTGTGTGCGCGCAGCTGACCGCCGTGACGTGGCTGCGCGAGTTCGTGGAGCTGGCGGGCCCGCGGCTGCTGCCGTACGCGTCGGGCGTCTTGGCGGCCGCACTGCCCTGCGCCGCGCACGCGTCCGCCGGGGGGGCCCGCCGCAGTATCCTTTGCGCTACCCTCGCATTCCCTGTTAAATGTCTGTTGTCCATGCGCACGGGCTCGACCGTGCCGATCTCAATACACGAATGTTACCCATACTACGAGCCCCGTCAGACATCCGCGAGACCGCGGCGGTGGTCAACCTTCAGCTGACCAAGCTCGTGGTGTCCGCCGGGGAGAGCGGCGAGGGCGAGGGGGACGGGGAGGGGGCGGGGGCGGGGCTGCAGCTGGCGGGCGTGGTGGGCGTGCTGACGCAGCTGCTGCACCACAACTCCGTGCACACGAAGGTGGCCGCGCTCGACTGGATCCTGCATCTGTACGACAAGCTGCCCGCGCAGGTCCGGCGGCGATCTATATCCGGTGCTGCGTCGCGTGGACCTCCTGCGACTGTACCGTTGACTTTGTGTCCAGATGTTCAATGAAACCGGAAGCGTGTTCCCGAGCGTGGTGGGCAGCCTGACGGACGCGTCCGACGACGTGGTGCGCCGCTCGCTGGCCGTGCTGGCGGAGATCTGCTCCTGCCCCGCCGCGGACACCACGCCCGGTGAGTGCCCTACTGATCCGACGCTCTAAGTGACGTCACACGGTGCTCCGTGCATTAGCTTTTAATTTTATTCCATTTATATTCTTCGCTTTGGCCGTTCTATGTCTGTGAACCTTCAATTATATACCTGTCGACCTGACGACATCGACGGAACGTCGCCGCTGACCCACGCCCCTTTCACCGGACTACCTACACCTACATACTCATCGCTCTCCCTACTCACCTAATACACGTTTTTTTTTTTTTTTTTTTTTTTGAAGAGTTTGATAAGCCTTTTAAGAATTTTGTTAGCTCAGGGGAGCACAAAAAGCTAGCTTAGACAACTGTTGCCGTTGAAGTGTCAGAACTACACGGGCTTAGCATTATATATCCCAAGACAAGCTCAAATTTGGAAGCAAATGTTTTCAATTTGGAACACTTTTATGTCAAATCTGTCAAAACAATTAAATTTCGTGATAAATTGTGTTATATTATATAAATAAGAACTTTAATATCATAAAATGTATAACCAAATCGTAAAATGTATAACGAAAAACTAAAAAAAAATCTACAGGTAAGGGTTTACATTAGTAAGTAAGTAGGCAAAAACATAGGATGAAAGATCGTAGAGGTTTGGAAAAATTTATATTACATTATTTTAATGATAACAGGAATAAAATTGAAGGTCCACAGTCATAGAATGGACAAAGTGAAGAATATAAATGGAATAAAACTTGAAAGATATTCAACATGAAAATAATTAGTGATGTGAATCTAAAGTATGATAAACATACGAAAGGTTTGTTACGACAGCCGATTATAAGTTCTCATTTTTTAGGGGATTTAGAGTCGAGCCCATACTACTATAAATTTCTACAATCTTTATTAAGACTGCTCGCCGCTGATGAAAACTTACTAGAAGACAGAGGTGCTTTTATAATACGGTGAGTTTTATGTTTAACTTTAAACTATTTGTTGTATTCGATCAATTTTGCGTTCCCAATGGTAACCTGGAAAATATTGGATTTTAAGCATTTTTCATTAAGAATATTTTAAATAACTGTCTTTTGTATTTCATATATTTATTTCAGTGACCTACTAAGAAAACTGATTTTTTCAAAGACTATAAAATTACTACAAATTATAAAACTAAGTCGCTTTCTCTGTCCTTGTATTCCTATGTATACTTAAATATTTAAAACTACGCAACGGATTTTGATGCAGTTTTTTTAATAGATAGAGTGATTGAAGAGGAAGGTTTACATTCATTAAATAGTGGAGAAATACTGTTATTTTTCAGGTTTCCAATGTAATGTCGAAAATAATTAAATTTTTTCCGCTTACATTGCAAACGAAGGCTGAACCCTACGAGATTTATCAAAATAATGTATTAAGTATATTGTACACATTGAAAAGGTCTACAGAAAACTCCGTGATGGTATATGTCTATCTCTTATGGAAATCCCACAATAACATTATTTTGTCATTTACTTTTAACGACAATAAATGGCTAATTTTCGAAAAAAAAATTATTTGCCTTTAAATGACGAACACTACAGATTGACATATTATTTAAGTTCAGCCCATTTAGCCATCAGCAATAGCCATCCAATGTCAAAATTAAAATTAATACAATTATTATTCCCACTTGCAAAATATCAAAAGAAATTAGAGTTTTAAAATCAGTTTAAATATAAAAGTAGATAATGTCAGATAAAAAGAATAAAAAAATTATAAAGTAGTCACACATTTTTAGACATTATACAATTCTACAATTCAATTCAATTAAAAAGCACAATACACACCCAATAACAGTTATTCTGGAATCGCGCGCTCCTTGGAATGATGTCAGTAACCAATCTATCACAATTTCAGGTATTGCGTATATATAGATTTTTCCTGTTTAAAGTGACATATATTTTGTTTTACGAATTTAGCGACTTCAAAAACGTATAAACAAGGTAAAGTTAAATAAATAGAATAAAAAAAAATGTTAATATTCTTAAAGATTAAAAGAGAGGTTTGCAGGGTTCATCTGGTACAGCACCACCAGCAAACAAAGGTTTTCATAATTTATATCAATTATTGGATTAAAGTCTTTACCCTTATTAGGGATTCTCAATAATAAAAATATCAATGGATAATGATCAAAATTGGATAGTGAATAATTATGAAATTCAAGGAAATTTAATTTAATGATATACAAATATAACTTTTTTTCTTAATAAAATTGAAATATTATTATAAATGACAAATTAATAATGTATTTGTATTGAATAATGAATAAGTTTAAATCCTATATATTTAATCCTTTGAAACTGAAATTTGTATGAGAATCAATAAAAGACTTTTTTATTTTTTATTTTATTTATTTATTTTTATTGGATTAATGTTATTAAATTTTATTAAATGTGTTTTTTAATTTTTATTTCTAAGCCAATCAACTATAGATGTCATTGTTGTTTTAATGTCATTTTTGTGATCATCTATCGTAAACTTGCTATCCGTTGTAACAACTGCTAATATATCATCAGCAAATAGAACGCATTGATGTTGTGTAACAATAAGAAGGTTATTAATGTATGTCAGTAACAACAGCGGACCCAAAACACTGCCTTGGGGAACTCCGAACTTGTTTTCTTTAAAATTAGATTTATATTTTTGTGTAACAACAGCGGACCCAAAACAGCCTTGAGGAACTCCGAACGTGTTTTCTTTAAAATCCAAATCTAACTTAGAAACTTCCACAGATTGAATCCTATTTTCTAATTAGGTTTTTATCCATCTTAATGCTATACCTCTAATGTCACAGTGCTCTAAATCTATTAAAAGTTGATTATGATGTACAAAATCGAACCTCTTTGTCATATAAAAAAAGAGAGCCGTTGTATATTTATTGTCATTTACTGATAGCAGTGTCCTATTAATTAAATCAAAAACAACTTGAGTAGTAGACTTTTTCTGTTGAAAAGCATATTAATTGGACTTTAAAAATTTGTATTTATTAAAAAAGGATAAGTTAATTATACATAATCTTTACGTTTATTATCGGTGCTCCAATTTAGAGTTAGATCAATTTAATATTAGGGAATATTTTTAAAAAATTAAAAAACTTTATTAAGTATTAATTATTCTGCAGTATATAATTAACATTTAATAAAGCTTTTACTCAGTATTCCGCAAAGTATTCGTAATGTGCATAAAGGTACTAATAAAGTACCTACACGGCAGGCAGTTATGTGTGCTGCTGAACGCGGAGGACATCTACAAGGCGCTGTCCCGCATCTTGGAACAGGAGCGCGACCTGAAGTTCGCGGCCACGATGGTGGACGTGCTCAGCACCATCCTGCTCACAGCCGCCGAGCTCTGCGAGCTCAGGCTCACCCTACGCGCCTTCGACAAGCCGGTTCGTTATGTGGCTGTGTGTGTGCGTGCGTGTGTGTGTGTCAGGCGACGGTGGATCTGTTCACGCGCCTGTATGCGTGCTGGTGCCACCGCCCCGTGTCTCTATACAGCTGGCGGCGATGTTATGTGTCTGTGTCTGTGTGTGTCAGGCGACGGTGGATCTGTTCACGCGCCTGTATGCGTGCTGGTGCCACCGCCCCGTGTCTCTATACAGCTGGCGGCGATGTTATGTGTCTGTGTCTGTATGTGTCAGGCGACGGTGGATCTGTTCACGCGCCTGTATGCGTGCTGGTGCCACCGCCCCGTGTCTCTATACAGCTGGCGGCGATGTTATGTGTCTGTGTCTGTGTGTGTCAGGCGACGGTGGATCTGTTCACGCGCCTGTATGCGTGCTGGTGCCACCGCCCCGTGTCTCTATACAGCTGGCGGCGATGTTATGTGTCTGTGTCTGTGTGTGTCAGGCGACGGTGGATCTGTTCACGCGCCTGTATGCGTGCTGGTGCCACCGCCCCGTGTCTCTATACAGCTGGCGGCGATGTTATGTGTCTGTGTCTGTGTGTGTCAGGCGACGGTGGATCTGTTCACGCGCCTGTATGCGTGCTGGTGCCACCGCCCCGTGTCTCTATACAGCTGGCGGCGATGTTATGTGTCTGTGTCTGTATGTGTCAGGCGACGGTGGATCTGTTCACGCGCCTGTATGCGTGCTGGTGCCACCGCCCCGTGTCTCTATACAGCTGGCGGCGATGTTATGTGTCTGTGTCTGTGTGTGTCAGGCGACGGTGGATCTGTTCACGCGCCTGTATGCGTGCTGGTGCCACCGCCCCGTGTCTCTATACAGCTGGCGGCGATGTTATGTGTCTGTGTCTGTGTGTGTCAGGCGACGGTGGATCTGTTCACGCGCCTGTATGCGTGCTGGTGCCACCGCCCCGTGTCTCTATACAGCTGGCGGCGATGTTATGTGTCTGTGTCTGTGTGTCAGGCGACGGTGGATCTGTTCACGCGCCTGTATGCGTGCTGGTGCCACCGCCCCGTGTCTCTATACAGCTGGCGGCGATGTTATGTGTCTGTGTCTGTGTGTGTCAGGCGACGGTGGATCTGTTCACGCGCCTGTATGCGTGCTGGTGCCACCGCCCCGTGTCTCTATACAGCTGGCGGCGATGTTATGTGTCTGTGTCTGTGTGTGTCAGGCGACGGTGGATCTGTTCACGCGCCTGTATGCGTGCTGGTGCCACCGCCCCGTGTCTCTATACAGCTGGCGGCGATGTTATGTGTCTGTGTCTGTGTGTCAGGCGACGGTGGATCTGTTCACGCGCCTGTATGCGTGCTGGTGCCACCGCCCCGTGTCTCTATACAGCTGGCGGCGATGTTATGTGTCTGTGTCTGTGTGTGTCAGGCGACGGTGGATCTGTTCACGCGCCTGTATGCGTGCTGGTGCCACCGCCCCGTGTCTCTATACAGCTGGCGGCGATGTTATGTGTCTGTGTCTGTGTGTGTCAGGCGACGGTGGATCTGTTCACGCGCCTGTATGCGTGCTGGTGCCACAGCCCCGTGTCTCTGCTGGCGCTGTGTCTGCTCACCCACAACTACCGACACTGCAATCATCTCATCGCTACGTTGTATCCTTTTTAACAACATGCAGTCAAACGTTAGAGAAAGATAACGAGTGAGCATCGAAGGCATCGATTCTTTCCTACGAGTTATACCGTTATTTCCTTAACGAGAGTTTCTAGCGGCGACTTGGAAATTACTGTGGACTTTTTGACGGAAGTGGACAAATTAGTACAATTAATCGAGTCTCCGATATTCGCCTGTAAGTATAGGACCTGCACACATTGAATGAATATTATGTATATCGCAACCAACTGGTTAACACAGTCGTCCAATTTCTAACTTTTACCCGTGACCTGCAGGACCCAAACAAATTCGTTGTTTATCATTTTATGTTTTAAATCATTTAAATGTATTATCGTTGTATGGTCTCCTTCCAGGACATACCTTACCTACTAGAGAGGACAGTTGTTTAGACCATGAAATGATAAAACTTGATAATTCTTCCAATTTGGCTTTCGTTGCGATTTTGCACACCTCCGTGACAGATCATAACTTAATAAGCTTAATTATTTCACAAGTACACAAACAAGTAATACTACCAAGACATAAAACCATTCTTGATTATGAAAAGGCATATAATTTACTGATTAATATCGCTTAATATCCACAATAGCAATCCTCATCTTTTTTTCACTAGCGTTAATAGACATGATTAGAGCAGCTATAACAACAAATACAAAAATAAAAAATATTTCAAATAGAACTATGTTCTTAAAGCAATGGATAACATACGGAGCTATAAGATGTATAAAGTAAAGAAAAAGCATGCAAATGAAACTAAAAATAATAAACAACGAAATTTTAAAAATTACATACTCGTACAAACGTTTTCGAAATGATTGCACAAATTTAATTAAAAAGTTAAAACGAGAATATAATAAAAGTCAAATATATAAAACAATTAAACACCCACGGAAGTTATGGTCTACTATTAATAATATTACACAATATAAACTAACCAAAACAATCCACGAAGAGCTCTTGATTATAAAAGAGTCACCACAAAGTTCCGTAAATTATGTAAATAATTTTTTTGTTAACATTGGTCAAAATTTAGCGGAAACTATACATAAACGAGTTGGTCCAACACTGAATCCTAATATTGACTCTATTTTGTTACCTCATTCTTTTTCATTTGTATTGCTGTAAAATTTTTGTAGTAATACAAAATTTTTAAAGTTTTCTAGAGATTTTTGAGTGCCTCATATAGTTATTTTAGTAAATAACTGTTTCCGAACTGGAGCTTTTCCTAGTGTACTTAAGAATTCCATTATAACCCTAGTATATAAGGGTGGGGATAGAATTGATGTAAATAATTACAGGCCAATATCTGTGCTAAACTCAATATCCAAAATATGTTGCAGAAAAACTTATCAATGAAAGACTTGTAAATTATTTAACTAAATTTCAAATTCTTATCACTGACCTTACATCACACATTGTTAAAGAAGTGGTCAAAGGCAACAAATGTCTTACAGTCTTTTTAGACTTAAAAAAAGCTTTTGACACCGTTTCTATCCCCGCCCATGTGCACAGGCTTGAGAACAATGACATTCGTGGCTCTGCACTTTCACTCTTAATTACTTTCAAAGAATTACTTTCATGATAGGACCTAAGAAGTTAAAATAAATAATATAAAGAGTGCTGAAGAAAGGGTCTTGTTTGGTGTGCCACAGGGAAGTGTCCTTGGACCAACGCTCTTCTTGATCTATATAAATGACCTTTGTAATCTGCGAAGCGTTGGGGGGAAGATTGTCACCTATGCTGACGATACTGCTATTATCTTTGTTGATAAAACTTGGAATAACGTACAGAACAGGACTGAGCGGGGACTAGCTAAAATAAACATATAGCTTGATAACAATCTTATGACACTAAACATTTTAAAAACCAATTACATTTGTTTTAGCCCCACTAATGCCTGCCAGCCGGGAGTGGACTTTGTGTCAGGATTCATAATTGCTCTTATGACATGCAAATCAACTGCAATAACTGCTCAGTCATCGAAAAGGTCACCCATACGAAGTATCTCGGAATTATGGTGGACCAGAGACTAAACTGGCATTCCCATATTGAAATAATAATTAATAGGGTTAGAAAATTGACGTGGATATTTAAGTCACTAAGACACATCGCAACAAAAAAGATAATAAATAAAATATATGTCGCTCTAGCACAGTCGAACATAAATTGTTGCATTGTAGTGCGGGGGGGTACTTGCAAAACACACTTCCTCGATATCGAAAGAGCTCAGAGGGCACTTATAAAGGTGATGTACTCTAAGCCGTATAGGTTTCCCACGGACAGCCTTTACAATAACAGCGGACTTTTAACAGTGAGATAGCCTAAATATTAGCTTTAATCCTAAAGTATCATAAATCACTACCGTATGACCAAAGTGTAGAAAAGAAGCGTAGGAAAGATATTGTTGCTCACTCACATTCTATTCGTACAGTTTTTGCTAGAATTATTATCAATCTGTGTATGTATACATATAATAAAACAAACCGTATACTTAAGATGTATCCATTACCGCTATATAAATGTAAGGAACTTGTAAAAAATTACTTATCAGGATAAGCTAACACAATATATGTAAAACATTTGCGTAAACACACACACACACACACACACACACACACACACACACACACACACACACACACACACACACACACACACACACACACACACACACACACACACACACACCGGATTCACATAGGTATACTCACATTACCTTATTATTAACATCTAACCATAGCGTATAAATAATAAAATCAAAATTTGTATGAAATCTTTGATAGACAATGGGGAAGTTGCGAGTCATTCCCATAACGAGTGTCTTTGATTACTCACTGGGAAGTCTCGGCGCAATAATTTGAAACCGAACGACTACAGCAATAAACTATTTTTGATTTTTTGATTATGTTGTCATTAACTATTGTACCACCAAACTTCGAAATCATAAAAACATACTAAAACAAAAGCAGTTAAATTTATTACTCTCTCTAATTTCGATAGATGGCGCTGTGGCCGTCTGCATCGCGGTATATCAAACGCCACTCATAGATTTCCTAACTGCTCCCCTTCACTTCTAGATCTTATTATTGTCTCTACCCCAGAACATGTTGCACGCCATGGACAATTTTCAGCTGATAATTTCTCATACCATGATATAATTTTCCTCTCGTATAAAATACACCCTCCGAAATTTAAACCTAAGGTCCTGTTGCAGCATCATTTTAGTGGTATAAATCTCGATAAACTCCGTGAGGACGCCGTCAAGTTGGATTGGGCTCAACTATTTGACAGCGGGTCCGTCGATGAAATGGTTGATATTCTTGCTTCAAATCTTATTTGTTTATATGATGTCCATGCACCGATTCGACCAGTTAAAATGAGACATCATTCTTCACCGTGGCTTACTGATGATATCAAACAACTGTCTGCCAAGAAAGCTGTTGCCAAAGCCAAATATAAGCATCATCCTTCTATCTCAAACTGGGAAAAATATGTCAATATTCGAAATCACTGCAATGAGGTGTGTAGAACTGCTCAACGCCAATTTATTCACAAATCAGTTGATAATGGTGACCTAGCCAAAGTCTGGAGATTTCTCAGATCTATGGGGATTGGTAAACAACGTCTAGAATCTTCTAATTTAGATATAAATATGATAAACCAATATTTCTCATTACTTCGATCCGGCTATTAAGTCGAATACGTTAAATGATCTTTCATCGCTTCCAAGCCCCGACTATTTACCTTTCATCGCGCGTCGATTCTCCGATTGTGATGTTAAGAAGAGCATTATGTCCATAGGTTCCAATGCAGTAGGAAGTGACTGCATCAGTCGTAAAATGATTCTGCCCATCCTAGATGAAATTCTCCCTGTTATCACTCACATCTTTAACCATTCCGTCAACACTGGTGTATTTCTCACGGTTTGGAAAAATGCCCACATTACACATCTTCCTAAAAAATCCAACCCTTCTTCCTTTTCTGAATACAGGCCGATATCCATTTTACCTTTCCTTTCTAAAGCCCTCGAACGCCTTTTGCACAACCAGCTGTCCATTTTCCTGCACAAGAATAAACTCCTAAACCCTTTTCAATCAGGTTTCCGTCCAGGTCACAGTATACTACGGCTTTGGTTCACATCACAGATGACATTAGACTGGGCATGGAGGAAGGGAAACTAACAGTTCTCTCCCTACTTGATTTTAGTACTTCATTCAATACTGTCGACTTTGATATTTTGCTTGGCATACTGCGCTCTATTAACATATCTCCAACGGTGATTGACTGGTTTCGTAGTTACCCGATTGGCCGCCGTCAACATGTCTGCATTGAGGATTCTTTTTCCTCCTGGTGCGACAGTTGTGCCGGCGTATCACAGGATGGCGTCTTATCTCCTTTACTATTTGCCATATTTATTAATTCTGTCTCCAATAAACTTCTTTCATCATACCACCTTTATGCAGATGACTTGCAAATTTATTCTCAAGCTTCTCTGAATAATTTGGCTTCGGCAGTTGATAATATAAACTCAGATTTAGCTTTAATCGCCGATTGGAGTTTGTCTTATGGTTTAAAAATAAATCCTTTAAAAACACAGGCAATTGGCGGCTAGTTTGACTTCTAAAATACAATGGTCGCAATTACCGCCTATTACATTTGGCGGTGGGACATTATCATATAGTGACTGTGTTAAATATCTGGGAATGCTTCTTGACAAGAATCTCTCCTGGGCACCACACATTCAGGAAGTAAGTCGTAAAGTGTTTGCTTCGGCGGCGTCCTTAAGGAGACTTAGGAATTTTTTACCTACAGCTACTAAAATCGCGCTAGCACAGTCTCTTCTCTTACCAATTTTAGATTATGCCGACGTCAGCTATCTTGATCTCACTGAAGAGCAACTAAATAACTTCAGCGACTTCAGAACTTCGATCAAAATATCGTCAAGAGCTCAAATGGTTACCTATTCGACTTCGCCGGAATGCTCACATAGTTTCTTTGCTATATCCTATATAATCTATAATATTCCTGTTTCTCCTGCTTATCTTAAAAAGCGTTTCAAATTTTTTTCTGACACCCACTCCCGTCTCTGGAGATCATCGGACAACCCGAGACTCGCGATGCCTATGCATTCCTCTAGTGTTTGACAGGTCCTTTACTGTACACGCCGCTCGTCTGTGGAACGAGTTGCCGGTTGCTGCGAGGCGTGCTCAGTCATTAAATGTTTTTAAAAATATAATTACAGAATACTATCACTCACGTGCTGTACATCCAAATAATATTTATTGTAGATAATAATATTTAATTACTATAAACTATTTTTTTTTGCTTGTGTGTGTGTGAATCAATTGCATTATATATTCATATTTATAAAGTATACTTTTGCTCAAATGCACTGCCCTAAATTATTCTCCCTATCTAATTGTCTTTTTGCGGTTGCCTGGGAAAGATCGCTTTTATGTGATAAGGCCGCCATTTGCTTCGCTCTTGATCTTTGTGATTCTCGTATATTCTATTATTGTGCAATAAAGTTTATTATTATTATTATATCTTGTCTTTGTATAATTGTATAAAGAATTTAAGCTTAACCACTTCCGTTATGTGTGTGCACGTTTTGTGTACGGGATCATCATTGCACCCAGTC